ACACACACACACACACACACCAAAAAGTAAATAGATAATTGTTTTTTATTTTGCCAGTCCTGGGGCTGGACTGTAGGCCTGGGCATTGTCTCTGAATTTCTTTTGCTCAAAGTGAGTGCTCTACCACTTGAGCCACAGCACCAATTCTAGCTTATTTTTATTTTGTCGGTCATTAGGCTTGAACTCTGGACCTGGGCACTGTCCCTCAGCTCTTCAGCTCAAGGCGAGCGCTCTACCACTTGAGCCACAGTGCCACTTCTGGTAAACAGATAATTGAGACAACTAAACTTTCAAGTACTTGTCCAGCCTTATGTCAAGTATTCCTTCTGTTTCTGACTGACTTGGAGTTCTGGGTGTGACCCTGGTTTCAGGCTGAGCCCACCCTTCACTCTGTTAACTTCAGTGCTACCCAAGTCCTCACTGGGGTCCCAAGGTCCTCACCGGGATCCCATGGACATCTATGTCATCCTAATGAATGCTTTGCCCCTTCTCAAGTAGCAGAGTTGAGTGGCAGCCAAATCAATCTTATTTTTCTACCTGGTTGAGTTTGTAAAATGAAGAGAGAAAATGAAGAATGCACTTTTTTTTAGGTATATCTGACAAGTTCTCTAACAAATTTCTTTTGTAATTAATTTCCTGAACTGTACATTTTGGATAAATGGAAGCAGTTTGGGCTCTGATTTAAGTTAGAAATAGTCTTCTCATTTTTTTTCCTATGGTCAAATAATAGAAAATGATTTTCAGTGGCGCTTTAGCTCAAGTGGTAGAGCGCTCGCCTTGAGTTGAAGAGCTGAGGGACAATGCCCAGGCCCAGAGTTCAAGCCCCACGACTGACAAAAAAAAAAAAAAACTATATAGAGCACTCAGAAAATGATTTTCATGATATTGGCTATGGTTTTCTCCCCCAAATAAAACTAATGTTATAGGTTGGTTTGTATTTTTCCTGAATTTGGCCCATAGTTACTCTGCAGTTCATTGTCATACCATGGAGATGATATAAATGGTCGTCAGGACAAAGTTGCATTTTATAATAATTTGTCAGTAAAGAGTCTTGCTTATTTCAATATTTTGAAAGTTACACGTATCTCAATAGCTTATAATCAGTTTTGAATTTTGGGGAGTCAGTAAATAAAACCATGAGTAAAGCAATATACTCATTGGTATTTCTGGACTAGAGATCAGGACATAATGCTTGCCCAGAAAAATTAAGTGAGTGTGGAAAAGAAGATTTGGACTTAGATTTTGGCTGTGCATATCACACGTTTACTCTACCCTGTGTGCATCAGCATTTTCATTTTGATCAAAGTCCAAAAAAAGTGATTTTTTTCCCTTGGCTTACTGTCTACTAATCCATGTGAGGTGACCCAGTATGCTAGAGTGTAGATCATACTAACCCAAAAGTTACTTGACTGAGAAAAAAAAAAAGCAGCATAGGTTAGGAGAAGGCCTCTCAGCCTCAGTTTCTGATATTTGGACGCAATTGTTTTGGGGAGCTCCCTGTGCTTTGTGGTATGTTTAGCAATATCTCTGTCCTCTGAGGCAAACGTTCTGCGACACCTCTTCTTTACTTGAGAACACAGAATTGAGGAGACGGCATCTTCACAGTGGCCAGAGGGAATCTTAGTTTGCTCTGATAGACACCAAGCAGAGGTTCACTCATTCCTTCCTAGGCAAATTCACACGTGAAACTTGTTCCTTTACAGTCCCTGAAACACAAATTCCTCTCCTTCTCCTCTCTCAGTGAACTTAATCACGTGGTTTAAATAGTGTTAATGATAAACAGAGAGGAATACAAATGGTCTAAGGGGGAGGTGGAGTTGTTACAATGTCACATCTGTGGGGCAGATAAAAGAATAGATACCAGCAATCCTTGTTATCTTGTCCTCTGTTTCTTCAGCTAGTTTCACTGCTGCTTCTTTTAGCTGAATGACTTTCCCCCAAGTTTCCATTGTTAGTCCTCTGGCCCTTGTCTCATGCTGAAGAATAGCATACTGATTTTCCAGCTCAACAAATTCCTGTAACAGAGTCACACTACTATCATCAGAACATACTTAGGAAGCACATGCATATGCAGCGATAAACCTACAAACACTATGCACAAAGAGGAACAGAGGAAACCTTAATTCAGCCAATGTGTTTGAGCCTGTCTGAGAGTTCAGAGAGGGCTTTATTTGCATGTTTGTTTTTTTTAATGTTAGAAAAACTCATTTGGTTAAAACAAAATTTGCTACAAAATATTGATCACTATTGCATGATTAGGAAACCATCTATGCAGCACCAATGGTGCCTTATACTGATGTTAGGGTGGGAGATACAGGAGAAAGGCATGACTTCATTGTACCCTTGACACATCTCTGGTTCAGCTGGGTTAAAAACCACTGTAAGAACTAAAGTATGAACTAAAGAATGAAAATTTGAAGCCTCAAATCCTTTGGTAGGCAAAAGAAGAAATGTAGTAAGAAGGAAGGCTTAAATGAATGTTAGTAAGAAGCTCTCTCTCCTGAAATCAGTATTTGACTACCAGTATTTGACATCAAATACATGTGATTGACGACCTAGAAGGAAAGTCGATGAGCAAGCATTAGGGACAGGCAGAGGATGGACAGGATATGGGTCCCCAACTCCCAAGCTCTGGACCGCTAGACATTAGAAATTAACATCAAGAGAACAGACCAGTTGTAGAAACTAACATTTTTCTTTTCTTCAAGCTACTATATTAATTTAATCAACCAAAGATTTCCTGCTAAGAAAATGAGTTGATAGATTCTTTCAGCAACCTAAATAATAGCCACTTTCCACATCCATTTAATTAACTCATACAAACATTAGTTACTTGATCTGTCTCTTGGGTGGGTGATTTTTTAAAAAATCTGCTACTTTTTTTTGGGGGGTCCAGTCGTGGGCCTAAACTCTGGGCCTGGGCGCTGTCCCTCAGCTCTTCAGCTCAAAGCTAGCGCTCTACCACTTAAGCCACAGCGCCACTTCCGGCTTTTTTCTTTTTGCTTATATGGTGCTGAGGAATTGAACCCAGGGCCTCAAGCATGCAAGGCAAACGCTCTACCACTGAGCCACCTTCCCAGCCCCCTACTACTTTCTTTTTATGTTATGCAGCTGAATTAAAGGGCAAATATAATAACCAAAAGCTTAAATTGTAAAAGTATGAAAAAAATTGGGAAAAATTTGGTTTACAGACTATGTGACTAGGAGACTACTAAACATACTAGGATGGGGACGTGGAGGGAGAACACTGTGACATGACTGGGTAGTCTTCGGATGTACAGGGTCTCTGTTCATTTGGATCTTATGAGTATACACCACCGAGCATGGATCAGCTTTAAAAAACCGCGCTGAGTAATGGCACAACAATCTGGGCTTCAGGGATTGTTCTTTACAGAAGCACTATTTGCTCCTAGTGACAGTGAAAGGAAAAAGTGACCTTCTCAGCTCTCCCAGCCTGGTGAAGAGCGGAGTCAGCCTGGGATTTCGCTCTGCCCATTAGGTCTTGGCTCCTTTGCCACTTGGTCTGCAGCAGGGTCAGTTCATCCTCCAGCTCCAGCTGTTGCTTTGTGAAATTCAGCTTGTTCTTTATTTCTTTTGCTTGATTTTCTGCCTGTTGTTGAACAGAAGGGAAAAATCTTTTAATAAAACAACTAAAAAATATGCTATTATTAATTCCTCAAAAGAGAAAAAAGCTGTGTGTGATGTCAGAGAAAATATGTCATCACCTTTGCTGTTGCATTTGATAAATGAAAAAGTTATAACAAAAGTATTGACATATGAAAAGGTCTAAAAAAAAACTATGACAAATGTGTTCTTAACCTAGCCAATTTTATGAATTCAACACTGTCTATGAGCCAAAGCCCCAGAAACACATCTCATTTAATCTCTCCTCACACTAAAGGCAGCCACAATTCTGAATCTAATGTTTTTCATTTCATTTCATTTCATTTATTTATTTATTTTTTTAATAAATCCTGGGCTTCAACTCAGGACCTGGCCTGGTTACTGCTCAAGCTAGTGCTCTACATTTTGAACCACAGCTCCTCTTCTCTTTGGTAGTCAGTTAGAGAAGTATCCTGGACTTTGTTACTTGGGCTGGTTTTGAATTGTGATCCTCAGATCTCTTCTGATTAGCTAAGATAGCAAGTGTGAGCCTTAGGTGCCCGGGCTCTTAAAGGCTGTATAGTATAGTCTATGAATAATTCCTAACAAAGTATAGTTTTAAAAATAAAAATAACCAAATACAGTGTACATTTCTGTAACTTGATTAGAAAAAAAAAGTCCTGGGGCTTGAACTCAGGGCCTGGGTACTGTCCCTGAGCTCTTTTTATGCTCAAGGATAGCACTCTACCTCTTGAACCATAGCTCTGACTCCAGGTTTTTGTTGTTGTTGTTGTTTTGGTAATTAATTGCAGATAAGAATCTCAGAGACTTTCTTGCCTGGGCTGGATCAGGGCCTTGTGATCTTGCTCAGCTTTTTCCACTTACATGGCTAGTGTTCTGTCACTTAAGCCATACAGCAAGCTCTGACTTTTGACTGATTAATTGCAGATAAGAGTCTCAAAGACTTTTTTTCCTACCTGGGCAGGCTTTGAACCTCCATCCTCAGACCTCAGCCTAAGAGTAGCTTGGATTATAGGTAGGAACCATGAGTGCCCAGCCAGAAGAAAATTCTTTATTGGCTCTGGGGGGGGGGAGGGGAGTTTTCTTTTGTATTCCCGTTTCTGTGAAGGTCAGGAGACTTGTCACCTCCTTATGTGGGCTTTGGTTTCTGTCTGGCATAGCAACCATTGGAGTGGAAGTCTGTAGTGCACTAGAGAGTGGCAGGTGCCATCTGCTGTTGTCATATTAGGGCTTGGTTATGCTCTGGATTCATGCTTCCCCATCATTTTTGGTCTCTAAGGATATCCTTGGTTTCTTATAAATTCATCTATGTATTTAAAAATTGAAATATCCTAGCTAATATTTTTAGTTCTTTTAACTAAGAGGTTCCTTAGGGTATCAGTCTGCTATATTTTTAGATATAGAAATCTCTTCCCATGCCCTGAGGCATCTGTGGGAGTTTTTCTAGAAAAGGCATCTGCATGCTTTTTTTTTCTGTAAGGGGATAGATAATAAAGCGGCTTATGTACTCCTTGCAACCCCTCAACTCTGTGCTGTTATGGTGCAAAGCAGCCGCAGGCCATATGATTTGGTTGTATTTGCCAACTCCTATTCTACAGTATGTGTCTGGAAATGAACCCTAGGGGCCTTCCTGTTTTGCTACTGTATATATGTAGCTTCTTCCTAGCAATCATTTTCCTGTTTGTTGATTTCTGCCTTTCATCTCAAGATGCCTGCAGTAGATCTAAAAACAAAACCTGAAGAGCAGAGTCTGAGTAACTCTCAACAATGTAAGGAAGGGGATATGACAGAGGATGCAGCCAAGGAAGAAAAGCCCTCACACCATGAGATCAGGTCCTGTTCCAACCACCAACTTCTGGGCTTACTCTTCCTGAACCAAGGCATGGCTTACGCCAGGGCCTTTCTCCCTTCGGGCTCTGGATAGAACAGTTCTTTTAGGTGAGATAACCTTTTAGTTTAGAATATTTGGCAGAAGTTCATGTTTAGTCACAACAACCTTGGAACAACAATGTCTTCACTTCTGTTGTTTATGAGCATTTAAAGCCACTTCTCTCCATGATATAAGGGCTTAGATCTACAGTTAATTAGCTGTGTGACCAGAAGCTGTCACATGAACCTTCCTGAGCCTAAGTTTCCTCCTTCACAAGCTGTCTCATTCTTCAGAATTGGTTAGGACTAAATGAAATGAAGAATGGAAGGCTTCTGCAGAGAATTTTTTAATGTATTTTCTTAGCATCACGAATGCAACAAGACCACTCCCATGAATGTAGAGCTCATCAATAAAGTGCAGAAGCCCACTAACATCTTAATTTATCCTCAGAATTGTCCCATCAGACAGGTAAGGCAAGTGTGACACTGGCATCCTTAAAAACCACTCTGCTGTTCCCACCATCAAACCGATTTCAGTTTAGTATAAAAGGAAGATAAATACCTGCAGTACATTCTTTTTTATTTTTGTTATCTCAACAGTCAACTGTGTGATAGAAGTGTTAGTTTGTCTTTGGGTGATTTGAGCTTGTTGCATCTTGTTCAATGTTTTGTCAAGGTTTAATAGACCATCTGCTGCTTTCCTAAGGTAAGATATTAACATATCAGATTAGATAAATATACAATTATTTATTTACTTCACCTTGAAAGTTCACTCCATTCAGCCAGAAACTGTAGTGAATTATTTATAAAGTCAATTTAAATTCCTCTTAAGCAAAGTACTGAAGGCTTCATTTTGAGAAATAGGTATAATTTAAATGCCAATAACAACACATGTGCATATCCACTAGATACAGATTCTTACCAAATATAGGTTCCTTTGCCCATAAAAACTATTCAACTGCAGCTTTCTAATTTCTGAACCACACATGGCACTCTTGAAATACTTATCAGAGTGGGGGTGGGGATTGAGAGGCCCCACTGAGAGCAAGAGAGGAATTGTGTTTCAGGCTATGTTTATTCAGGGGGGTTTTAAGCTTTGCTGACATTCCAGTCACTCAGGGGCCCAGTCAGAGGTTAAAATCACAAGCATTCCAAGTGATAAAGCACTGTACAGAAGAGAACTCACCTCAAGTCAGCATTCACTGCATGCTTACAGCTGTGGGCTCAAAATCACTTTGAATAGAACATACCAAGTGAATAGAACATCAGACTTTGGAGAAGCGTTAGTAGATGTGCTCGTGCCCACAACAAAAATAAGCTGGGCTATAACATATCCCTGCCACACCCAGCCCATCCTTTACTCCCACAGACAGTCTGAACTTCAGGAATCCTCCTTCCTCCCAGTACAAACCCTCTACCCTAGCATTTCATTTTGGTACATTCCCTAAGAATTAGCACCCGTTTCTTCTACTTTACACACTCACAATCTCTCTGTCTCTCTCTTTTCTCTCTCTCTCTCTATATATATATATGTACATATATATACTATATGTATGTGGAAATACATAACAGTATATATTACAATATTATGTATATTATATATTATACACAGATAGGCTGTGTTATGTGTATATAACATATAAACTATACGGCTCATTATAGCAAATTCAGAAAGTACCAGATATGTAAAGAAGGGAAAAATTTACCAAAATCCTCCCACTTTTTTTTGTTGTTATTGTTGGTTGTGGAGCTTGAACTCTGGGCTTGGGCACTGTCCCTATGCAATTCAGCTCAAGGCAAGTGCTCTACCACTTGAGGCACAACACCACTTCCAGTTTTCTGGTAGTTCATTGGAGATAAGAGTTTTATGGACTTTCCTGCTCGTGTTGGCTTTGAACTGCCATCCTCAGATCTCAGCCTCCTGAGTAGCTAGGAATACAGGTGTGAGCCTCCGGCACCCAGCTATTTCTTAAGTTACTCACACATCCCAGCATTTAATTCTATAATCTTTTTTTTTTTTTGTCTTTTCATGGACTGAGCTTCTCCCAGGTACATCAGGTACCAACTTTTAAAAGCATCACCATTGCACGCTCTGTATTTTTGATGCTTTTTAATTATACCATAGCTACACTATCTAACTGGTTTTAAATACTGGAAAGGGGTCAGACTTTCAGAGGCATCTGGCCCACATCATTTGTTCCAGTGGATGATGAGGATTGCCTCAGGTCTAGCTCAGGCCTCAGCTCTGGGAGCATTCCAATGATGCTATGACCCTCACCCACAGCCTCCACTCACTATAAAGATTGCTTTGCCTTCTTGCTTGGCTAAGTGAACAGGGGAAAGGGAGTTAAGAGTTCATTAACTCTTGCATCATATGTATATCCGACTCCTGTATTATTTGTAATTTTTTGTTTTGTTTTGTTTTTACTGTAGCCTTCTGTAAATTTAGATTTTCAAAAGAAGGGGAAATGACACCATATTCCAACCACAGGTTAAAGTGTTGGGATATAGTTCACAGGTGGCATTTGCTGGCATGCATTAATGTAGGCCTCAGACTGCAGGGAAGGCTCTGAGGAGAACAGAAAGCAAGCATCCCTACACACTGTCTCCCAACTGTCACTTTTCTTTAAAAAAAAAAAAAGCTTAGCCTTCAGTTTTGACACTGAATTACTAGAGGGTAATTTCATTTGCACATTATAGCTCCCAGGGCCAAGAATTTTTTCAGGTGGACCTTTAACAGGTGGCTCATTATAGCAAGAAGAGAATATTAATACCATACTTACTCAGCTGCTGTGGCCTTCACCAAAAGTTGTTGGGCTCCATCTGCTGCCTTATTTAGCCTGTTCACATCTATCTTGTAGTCCTCACAGAGTTGTACAAATGTCTGTATTTCGTCAAGTTCATGGGTTAGATTTTGTGATGTTATTGGAAGGTGGATGTTAAGTACACGATTTGCAACTTTTTCTATATCTTCTGGAGGCACATTTTCCTCTTAAATAAGAAGTCAGGTTTTAGGTCATCATACTCCCTTAGCAATCACTGCATCATGTACATGTAACCATAGTGAATTCCAGATCAAAGTCACTTGCATTTAACAGTGCATTCCTAGGACACAATGAGTAGGTTGTATATATCCCTTACTTAGATCCTTAGTTCTTTGTTTTGTTTTGTTTTTTTTTTTGTCCGGTCGTGGGGCCTAAACTCTGGGCCTGAGCGCTGTCCCTCAGCTCTTCAGCTCAAGGTTAGCACTCTGCCACTTGAGCCACAACGCCACTTCCAGCCTTTTTCTTATGTGGTGCTGAGGAATCGAACCCAGGGCCTCAGGCATGCAAGGCAAGTGGTCTACCACTGAGCCACCTTTCCAGCCCTTAGATCTTTAGTTCTGTGGACCTTTAATTTTAATAATATTTGGATACAGATTCTTTTTTTTCAACTTGTCAGGTTAATTAAATTGAACCTCTTATTAGAAATTTGCTCACTAACAATGAGAGCACAGCCACTATAATCAGTGAATTATATAGGAAGCAGGTTATACATGCCCACTCTATCATGAACACTTGCTACTATCTTCCTGTAACTAGATAGGCAATTTGCTTTTAATTTTTGCCTGAATTAATTTGCATCTGCAGTAAACTGCCAAAAAGTTTAGTCAACCAGTTTAGTCAACCCCAATCCCTCTTGCTAACTCATCGCTAACGTGCTTTTATCCAGTATACTGAGTCTATTCCTCTTTCTTGTTATTGAGTATTATTCAAAGGTTGTATCCACATACTTTCTTTTTACCTTGGATATCTGCATTAGAATGCAGTAATACAATCTCTTGAAACATTAAAGCAGAGAAGTGGTTGGTCACAGAGATTTCTTGAAAATATGAAATAGATTAATGAAGTGATTGCTGAGACAACATTGGAAACTCCAATTATTAATTGATTAAAATTAATCTTACCCAGAAAGTCTTAATTTCCTTTTGGTGCATAATGTCTTGAGATTAAAACCAAAGGTTACATCAATTTTTTTTTCTGGTTTAGCCATGTCATTTTAAACTAATATAATTTGGGACTGGTTATGATGTTTTGGGTACATTTTTATAAAGAAAGAGATAAAAAAAACTTTATGTTAAAAATTACCTAACAAAATCTTTTTCGCTTTTTTGATTAAGAAGTTCAGTTTTTTTTCCTCAGATTCCCTTTGGTTTTTCATATTTTCTAGTTTCAAACTCAGCCGTATGGCATTGTTTCCAGAGACTTCTGCCAGTTCACTTATGTTTTTAATCTGGAATAAGAAAAAATAAACAACGAAAAAATATGTAAAAATCAGACATGTTCTGTGACTATTTAATTGTTTGGCTGGTTCAAATAAAATTGTTGCTAAAAAAAAAAACACAAGCAGAAGTCTAAGTAATTAAACCATAGGTTCATTCCAAAGGATTCTTTTTAAAAGATGATTATCATGTGCTCATTATCAAAGTTTCTTTTTTTTATTAATTTTTTTACTGTGAAAATACCATACAGAGGGGTTACAATTACATGAGCAAGGTAATGAGTACATTTCTTATCAAGCATTGCTGCCTCCTCCTTTTTTCCCCTTCCCATCCCTGCCCTTCCTATCTCCCCCCTCAAAGTTTCTTAATAAAGAAGAATTTTCATTTTGTAACATTGTTAGTAATCAAAATTACTATTTGAAAACAATATTAGCCTAGTGTTGGTGAAGTTTCTTACTATATATAAAAACATAAATTGTTTTAAGAGTAGCATTCTCTAACATTAATAACTTGTCCCAAATTACTTAGGACTACTTACTGTAGTGACTGTTATGCTTAACAGGTTGAAAATAGCTTTTTTTATATATGTTCAAATAGTTATTCTTGGAATCATTCCTCAAATATAAGTAATGTACTTTCTTTGAAAGCTAACAAGAAAGTGTTTACTTATAATAAAGGGGCTTGAGCTGAGTGGGCTACAAATCCAAACACAAGCTCTGGGTGAAGGAATGAGGAACCCATACACCAGCAGCTAGAAGTGCAAAGGTCACGGACTTTTTTGGATTCCAGCAAATTAGAGGGAAGGAGAAAGCAATAGGACAATATCACCAACCAGCTGAGCTTTATTGAATAAATTAATTGTGACAGAATAGGGCCAATTAGAATCAAACATAATGTAGAAGGGAAGCATCTTTATTTCCACACAGAAGGAGCCTGCTTAATTTGAGCCAGAGATTGGGAAGAAGGATTTAATGTATAGTCATCAACAAATGAAATACACAGAATATAAAAAGGATTTATATGATTAAAAATGTGTACTTTAATTTTTTTGGAGACTTTATCCTCAAGTCTTTAGAACTTTCTCTGACATGGACAGCAGTTAAATAAGGCTGGATAGCTATAAAATGAGAATTCAGGAAAAATGAGAATTCATTCCATATAGAAAAGCTTCAAGTAGGCCTGATGAAATCTCAGAGTAGATTAGTTGAGGCCATATTCAGAAAGACTGATCATTAAGTCACCTCACTCTGAAAACATCTATCTGCAATCCATCTTCTGACACAATTGGTTCCTGAGAATTATCTCAGTCTCTTCTGGCACTCTTCCCCTTTCTAATCAAGAAGAAAATACCACAGTAATTTATGGCAGACCCACCTGCTCTCATCTTTTTCTAGCTTTCCACTTACTTGCTGATTAAACTACATTCTGTTAATATAGACTTGAGGGGGTTATCTTTTAAGACAAATAGCTTAAAGCTATTGTTAGCTTAATCATAAATCCACCCACAACCAGGGTTCATTGCAATGGAATGAGAGGTCTGATTTGGGGGCAGGGGAGAGAGGAATGGAGTAGTTTAAAGTTATGTGAAACAAGGATTCTCTTAACCACTGAGTTGTAAGACCAAGATTTGTGTTGTTAATATCACTGCTGTATTGTCTGGTACGTAGTAGTTACTCAATGCCTCCTTGTAAAAGCAATGCGGAATCATATGTAAGTGAAAAATTAGTTAGCAATACAGAATTGGGACCAGGCAAGTAGAAAACTCACATCATTTAGTAGATTAAGGAGATTTTCCATCTTAGCTCATCAGAACTAAGCCTCTGTAGTAATTTAGCTCTACAACTTGCCCTCTATAGTAACTGAACAAGAATTAGGGAGAATGAGGCTGGGGGAGGGGGAAGCAGGAGAGGAGGGGGTGTCTGTGAGTTTTTACCTTGCCTGTGATTCTCACCCTGTTCCCAAGCTTAGCTTTCTGTTGATACTAAGGCCTTGTACACATTTTCTTTTTATTTGGAGTTGGCTTCTGCTTTTTACAAATAACTGCAAGGAGTTGGTGGTTCACGCCTGTAATCCTACTTAGGAGGCTGAGATCTGAGGATTGTGGTTTGAAGCCAGCTCTGGCAACAAAGTCTATGAGATTTAAAAAAATTATGTTAATATGTTTTCTACTGTAAAAATACTGTACAGAGGGAAGTCTATAAGATTCTTATCTCCAATTAACCAATCTCCAATTTCCAAAAAGTTGGAACTTGTAAAGCACTGTCCTTGAGCTAAAAATTGAAGGGAGAGCACTAAGGCCCTGATTTCAAGCCTCAATACTAGGACCAAAAACAAAAAGAATGCAGATTGATATAATATTTGGATTATATTAATAAAAGTTCAGCCCTTTCTATTCCTCATCAAAGGCTCTGTATGTATTATCAAAAAAAGAAGAATGCCATCATCATATTTTCAAAACCAAAGGATATAGTACATATTGAAAAAGCCTAAAGACAGGATGGTAGTACTAGAGTACCTGCCTAGCATCTGTGAGACCCTAGGTTCAATCCTCAGAACTGTGACTTGAACAAAAGAAAACAAAAAACTAAACATGCTGGGTAATTAAAAATGATACTCATAAATGTTGCCAGAAAAGTAAATGAAATAATTTCAAAGTGTTACATGTTCAAGCATTTTCTAACATTAAATTCTGATATTAAAATTGTATTTTAGTAGGAATTATATCCTTGAATTTATGAAAAATGATTCTTTGCTTTGAGAGATCTATAGCTTTCAAAGCTTCCATGCTGAGGTGTCTTTTTTTTTTTTATTTTGTTTTTTGTCAGTCCTGGGGCTTGAACTCGGGGCCTGGGCACTGTCCCTGAACTTCTGCTAGGCTAGCATACTACCTTGTGAGCCATAGCACCACTTCTGGCTTTTCTGCTTATGTGGTACCGAGGAATTGAACCCAGGGCTTCATGCTTGCTAAGCAAGCACTCTACCACTAAGACAACATTCCTAGTCCTCATGCTGAGTTTTGACATTCCTGTGTAGTATTTGCTATAGAAAAACATGTCCATAGAAAGCCTATGACCAACAATAATACACTTTGAGTTTTTCCATCTATTTAAAAGTGTATATTTACAGTTCTGTACAGTTTATTTGAATAGTGACTTCCTTTTGTTCTTTCTTTGTGTGTGTTTATAATTATATTTTTCAAGTAATGGTACAAAGGAGTTACAATTCAATGAGTCAGTTTATGAATATAAGGCATCTTGATCAAAATCACCATTCTCTCTCATACATGTGTACATTTAATCTTTTCCTTCACACATCTATATATTTAATATTTTTGTTGTTGTTAACCATGGTAGGGCTTGAACTCAGGGATTGGGAATTGTCCCTTACCTTTTTTGCACAAGACTGGTGCCCTACTGTTTGAGCCACAGTTCTAACTTTTTGTTGGTTAACTAGAGATAAGAATTTCATAGACTTTTGTGCTTAGGATAGCTGTGAACTGCGATCCTCTGATTCTCAGCTTCATAAGTAGCTAGGATTATAGGCATGGGCCAGTAATACCTGGCTCTCTATTTTAATCTTTAGAACACTTAATTTCTCAACCTCTAGAATGCACAATGTCTAGAGTCTATCCTCGCTTGCTGGTAAATTAAATGGCACTTTACCAAAATCCAGCTTGCTTTTTTTGTCTTGGTAAGATTTAAAAAAAAATTTTATTGTAAAGATGCTGTACAGAGGGATTACAGTTACATGAGTAAGGTAATGAGTACATGTCTTGTCCAACATTGTTACCCCTTTGTTTTTTTTCCTACTGTTTCTTCCCTATCCACTCCAATCCTCCACCACCCCTCCACCCGCACCAAAGTTGCAAAGATCATTTCCAACATAGTGTCTTATGAGTATCATCGTTGCAATGGGTCATCCTGTGTCTTTGTTTCAGCATTTTGTTATTCCCCTTCTCCTCCCCAAATTAGATAAATGTATAAACAAGATGCAGGGGACCAAAATCAAGTACAGTGACAACAGGGATATACCATAGGGGGAAGAACATACAACAGAAACAACAAAAAAAAGCACATAGTACATTAAAAACAACAAATCAAGCAGAAGACATTCTTTACCTGATTCGTCAACCCTTGAGTCTGGTTCTCCAAATGGTGGATCACAGCCTCTGCTTCCTGGGTTTTCTGAAGAATGTTCCTTGAGAGGGTCAGAAGGCCTTGGCAGCCGGGACCATCACACTGCTGGAGCCCCTCAGGGCCTGTACAGACAGAGCCCCCACAGGATGACAGATTACAAGGCAAGCTCCCTTGTTCTCCACATACCTTACAGAAGAAATGTCAAAGCAACTTGTTAGCAGTGATTTTCTAATGCTATCCAGATTCTCTAAGGCAAAGTATTGTTTTTTTTATTTTAATTTAATTTTATTATGAAAGCGACGTACAGAAGGGTTACAGTTACATAAGTAAGGTAATGAGTACATTTCTTGCTGAATAATGTTACCTCCTCCCTTGTTTTTTTCCCACTCTCATTTCCCCCATGACTCCCCCCCACCAAGTTGTAAAGTTCATTTCCAAAACAGTGTATTGTATCACTGTTGCATTGGTTCACCCTTTATCCTTTGTCTCACCATTTTGTTATTCCCTTTCCTTTCCCCAAATCAGATAAATGTGTATACAAGATACAGGGTACCAAAATAAAAAACAGTGACAACAAAGGATAAATAAACCAAAGGAAAAAAATGAAAGAAAAAAGAAATAACTTCACGTAGTACATTAAAACAAAACAAAAACAAAAAGAACCTTTTGTTTCCATATCTTGGAAGCAATTTCAATTAGCATCATTTTATGTGGTCATATGTATATAGCTATTGAGCTATTGTGATCCTCTGCTAGGTCTATCCTTAGACATATACTAATTATTACAAATGAGGAAAACCATGGAACCTGTGTCTCTTTGGGTCTGGCTTATTTTACCTGATACTAGGGCTCGAACTCAGGGCTTTGTGTTCTTGCTTGGCTTTTTTTCACTTAAGACTAGTGTTCTACCACTTCAGCCATATCTCCACTCTCTAGGCATTGCTTTGTCATGTAGGTTTCTTTAGTTGTTACCTATACTAAGTAGCAAGGGGGTGACCTTAGTAGATCCTGAGCAACTGAATAAGTATCTAAATTGTGAATTTTGTACCAATCTGTCCTTTTTGTACTTACAGGTTTTTTAAAGTTACATTTTTGTGCTTCCACATTAATTTAATTTTTATTCTTTGAAGATGGATATTAATTTTTACTTATAACAAAACAAGAAGAATAATGTCTATTTGCTATACTATTTTGTAACTAGTAATATAAAATAATAAAATCAAGCAGTAAGCTTTGATTTTTAATTTTGACTAATCCTTGAATCAAGGATATAAAATATAGACTAAGTAAGTATATTTATATTTTTGTGTATTGTACTACAGAAGGTATATTACATATTATTTCTGTATTTATAAACATACATTTGTACTAATCATACGTTTATAAGTATAAATGAAATAAAAATAAATGAGAAAAAAGTACAGTTAAGGAGCTCTGTATACAAGAAACCATAAACTTTTCATTAAACCATTATGTATTTACCTTTTCATTGAGTTTCTGGATATCTGGTACCTTAATCTGCTCTAATTTTTTCAGTAACAAGTCTTCTTTAGAAGTGACTGTATCTAAAATGGTACGTAAGTTGTTCCTGGTATTCTCAGAGTTATTTATGATGGAACTGGTTTCATTAGTTTTCTTTTCAGCAGATTCTGATATGTGATAATACTTTGTGATGTTTTCTGAGGAATCTACAACATATTGTGGAAAGATAAAATAAAGGTAAATTAGATTAACTATCCTGACAGTCACAACACAATTTACTTCTTGTCTTAGTCTCAATTTTCCCTATAAAATTTCAACACCCTTGCTTGAATTTGCATATGAAAGGGAAGGATTAGATAAGTGGTAATAGATACAGGCCACTGACTTTCAAATACTTTTTAGTTGGGCTTGGCCTGGCTCTTCTCTTTATTAACTGGGTTTAATCTTTGAACAAATCTCTTCAATTTCATCTCCTTACTCATAAATTGGTGATAAAAATTTGTAAAGGTCAAGTGAGACAATATGAAAATATTTTGTAAAATGTGTCACAGTCTGGATGCCGATGGCACATGCCTATAATTCTAGCTACTCAGGAGACTGAGATCTGAGGATTGAGGTTTGAAGCCAGCATGGGCAGGAAAGTCCAGTAAACTCTTATCTACAACTGACCACCAGAAACCTAGATGTAGTCTGTGGCTCAAAGTGGTAGAGTACTGAGTTTTTTCACTCAAGGCTCGTGCTTTACCATTTTGAGTGACAGCTCTACTCGCTTTTTAAATCCTAACTCCACATTTTAGGAACCAGAGGGCTAGAATCCTGATTTTCACTTTCTACACAACTATAATCCAGGTATGAGACAAATACATCTGCTATTTTAAATTTTTTTTGGTCACATTCATCAACATGGTCTTGAGGCTGGGAATGTGGCTTAGTGGTTGAGTGTTTGCCTATCATGAATAAGTGCTGGGTTCAATTTCTCAGTACCACATAAACAGAAAAAGCCACAAGTGGCACTGTGGCTGAAGTGGTAGAGAGGCTCAGGGACAATAGCCAGGCCCTGAGCTCAAGCCCTAGGACTAACAACCACTTGAGCCACAGTGCCACTTGCAGTTTTTGAGTGGTTAATTTGAGATAAGAGTCTCATGGGGACTTTACAGCCCAGGTTGGCTACAAACCATGATCCTCAGATCTCAGCCTCCTGACTAGGTAGGATTACAGGTGTGAGCCACCAGTGCCTGGCTAAAAAAAAAATGTTCTTATTTATTGGAAGGATTTTCCATTTTTATTTATCTGGCAAACTTAGCTCCCTCCTGCAAGGCTCAGTTCAGTTATAATCTTCTCCCTTATAATCAGGAAGAACTTGGTTCTTGTACCCTGCAACCGAAGCAGATTCCTCTCTCCCTCGTGGCAGGGATAACTCAAGGGCAGGTACTTGCCATAATCATTTCCCTGTCTGTACTGTCCAACAGTGCTCAGTAACTGCTGTTGGCCTGCAAATTATAACATTTCCTGGTATGGAGTAGTTTTATTTTACCTGGCTTGCGGTTACTTCCAATGGATCTTTAGTTCTTTCAGTAAGTGCCATATTCCACAGCAAGAAACAAATAATTCCTTATGCTTGACATGGTATTGATTAAATACTGTTAATAGATCTTTTCTAGAATTTATCTAATTAAATTTAGACATTCTTAATTGCACTCTATTTTTTTTCTCTTTTGAGTCAGGATCAAATGAAAAACAGTCACTACACAGAGAATAAGGCAAAGCAGTCAATGTTTATGTCTTGACAAGAGTTCAGTATATTTCCCCTTTACTTCTCAATTAGATGGAGTAGGTGTGAGTAAATTCAGTATTGACTTTGTAATAACAGGTTGTCCAATTACAAATATAATAGGAAATGTCATCTTCAACAAGAGATGAGCTGATTAAAGCTTTGCTTTAGAATTCCATTTATCCTCCAAGTTGATCTTGGCTTTGACATGGCTCACATTCAGTTTTAAGAACTATGCAATATGAAGAAATGATTGCCAGTGTGTTACATGATTCCAGTTCCAACAACGTTCTCAGGAGGAATCTATTTCCTTTTTTGCATCATATTCTTTCACATTTGTGGTTGCTGGAAATGAAGTAGATTATTGCCAGGAAGGAAAAAAGAAAAGAAACCCTAATTTGCCTATGGCCACATGAGAATTTCTAAGTTACCGATTTGTTATTAGCTTACTTTGGGTTTTACTATTTGTGTAGTATCAGACATTGTTAACTTTTGTTATTTTGAACAAAAGCTATCCAGGCTCTTCAATGTTTTTTTTTTTTTTTTTGGGTCCGGTCGTGGGGACTGAACTCTGGGCCTGAGCGCTGTCCCTCAGCTCTTCAGCTCAAGGCTAGCGCTCTACCACTTGAGCCACAGCACTACTTCCGGCTTTTTTTCTTTTTGCTTATGTGGTGCTGAGGAATCGAACCCAGGGCCTCAGGCATGCAAGGCAAGCACTCTACCACTGAGCCACCTCCCCAGCCCTCTTCAATGTTTTTTAAAAAAATGTTTAAAAAGGTAAAATATCTGTGTACAAGTAATACCTTGAATGCATGTATCTGCATGTTCTAAAGTGCTCAGGCATCATGGAGTAAGCAGAGAACAGCTCACTAATGGGATTTGCTGTGGATTTCATCCAAGTTCGTGCAGAAACAGTTACAGATCACTTTCTCTCTTACCTATAATGTTTGCATTAAGGATGCTGGATTGCAAATCAACTTCCTCCTGAAGGTTTTCAAGTAAAATGTCTGTTTCATTCTCCATTCTTTCTATTGTTTCCTTTAGATCTTTAAATTCATAGACTGTTTTCAGTTGTTCACTTAGCTGCATGAATTGTTTCCTATCGAAGAAAATGAAGTTTTATATGGTTAAGCTTTTATTATTTGATATATTGGTAATCAAAAGCATGCCACAAAATTGTCCCCATGATTAGGTGTCCTCAATTAAAAGGGACCTTCACACACATAATTTTCATTTGACATTATAAATCTGGTATTTTTCTCTTTCCTCTTACTTCAGCTTCCTGGCTATATTTCATCACTCATTTAAACTATGACAAATATTCAAGTTCTAGGAAAGGTTTTCTAATCTTCCCATTTCAAGTGTCCTGGCTGTTTTTCTCTTTGCTTAGCATTTCAAAGCATGTATTCAGACAAGATTCACTTAAATCATTCAAAAAAAGCCAGTTTACACTTAGCCTTTAACACATGATAAAACAGAATGCTTTACCCAGTATAGGTAATATGAGTTCTTTATTTACAGTAAGTCAGCTTTCAACAAAATTCATTGTAGTTCTACTTCTAGAGAGTCTTAACTTTTAATTTACAATAGTGATAAGGTCATTTGCTGGCAAGAGGATACTGGATGTCTTTTTCCCCATTCCCTTTGACTATGACAGTTCATACCGTTGAGAGGTATCTGGGCCTCCTATGAGTTACTCTAGGTTGTATAAAGCAGCTTTCAGGCCGTGTCCAGCCCTGAGTCACTCCATTTATAAAAGAACACTTTTGACTTGAGTTATCTCATTTTGAGTATATGTGCCAAGACAGTATGACTCCACATCTTGTTTATACAGGCAAACAACCACTAGCTACCGCATATCATAAGGCACAAACTACTAATTCATTTGTGCCAACAAATCATCTGTGAATGTATTGGATCACATCAGAAACCTGACTGGTCAATCACACCAGGTGTAACCTGGGTTATAAAAGGAGCCTCCCAAGACTAAGACGTCAGGCACACTGACCTATCACCCGGTGGCTTGTAATGAGCCATCCTATCTGGCAGAACTGTCACAGTAAAGCAACTTTTCCTCTCCAGCTCAAGTGCAGTTTGTCCTGCCTATAACACACAGCTCTCCTCAAATTGACACTTGAAACTGTCTGGACCTGCATTTGACAATATTGTGCCCCAAATAAGTCTGTGCCTGGGGTTTATAAAACTCCTTTTTTTTTCATTTTATTTTATTTTATTTTTTGTGAACATACTGTACAGAGGGGTTACAATTACATGGGCAGGATAATGCATACATTTCTTATTAAAACTTTTTTTTAATATATATCTTTGATTGTAAAGATACTGTTCAGAGGGGTTACAGTTATATGAGTAAGGGAATGAGTCCATTTCCTACTGAGCCTTGTTACCTCCTCCTTTGTTTTTCCCCTACCATCCCTTCCCTCCTCACCTCCCCAACTCCTCCCCTCCCCCCACCACAAGTTGTAAAGTTCATTTTCAACATAGTGTCTTGTACATCTCAGAGACTTTTCCTGTATCTCTATCCATTCTCTAATTGTGCTTCAGTAAAGCCCTTCTGAACCTTGTAACCTCTTTCAAACTTTTGCAGCCATTTTGTATCACAAACATTGTTGTGTGAAGTATAATGTGTGTTCTGAAAGTTAATATTTCTAAATAAGATTGGAATACAAGAAATTGTGATCAGCAACAGCCACAAATAGAAAGGGAATTCAGGAGTACTTGGTGAATAAAAACCAATGAAATTGACTTAGCTTGTGATTTTATTGCTATTCAATAAATTCTGAGATTGTGGAAAGACAAATATGTTTCAGATATAGCCGATTCATGGCACAGACCTTTTTCTTACTTCAGTTTGCTGAGTTCAGCATATACAGTTCAGTTTGTTCAAGTGGATAATGAAGCTCTCCTTTTTAGGGAAATTGGGTGCAGTCTTAAAGGGTACAATTGAGGGGATCTGAGTTATAAGACTAATTTATCTTGGCACAAATAAAGATATTAATGAATTCTTCCTAACCTTTTCTTTGTCTCTAACAGACTTCTTCCCCTCTCTTCTACAAACTTTTCCTTCAGGCTCTAATCACCAGGACTATAAAAATAGCATTCTTTAGGCTAATGACAATAATACAAATAACATAGCCACTACTATTTGATTGGAATTCCTTAAGCATTTACTGTGTGCATTCACTATACTAAGAGGCTTGCTGGAGTAATATTCCCAAGAATCCTATGAAATAGACTCATAATATGTCTGTCTGTCTCTCTCAGAGGCGCTGCTTCCAGGCTGGCTTACTATTCAGTTAAGGATGGCCTTGAACTCAAACTCAGTAACTTCTAGTGTCAGCTTCCTGAATGTTAGAATTATAGGTGTGACCATGACCTCAGTGTGTGTGTGTGTGTGTGTGTGTGTGTGTGTGTGTGCGCACTATTACTGGCACTTGAACTCAGATCCTTAGATTTTTCACTTAAAGCTGGCACTCTACCACTTGAGCCACAGCTCTACTTCCAGCTTTTTAGTGGTTAATTGGAGACTTTCTTGCCTGGGCCACCTTCAAACCACAATCCTCAGATCTCAGCCTCCTGCATAGCTAGGATTACAGGTGTGAGCCACTAGTGCCTGGCTGCTTCTGTCTTTTTGCTGGAGACCTCACATGCCTGAAGCCACATGGATAGTAAGTGGATTTGAACTAAGGTAGTTTGGCTTCTGAGTTTTTAATGCTCATGGCAACATAGGCTCCTTATTTTCTTGCTTCCTTTTGACTTGTCTATATAACAGTGAAGAAGCACAAAATCTTCTTCAAACCCATCTTTAAAGATGGAGAGAGGAGATACATGCCTTTCTACGGGGGAGATCAGGGAAAGCTCAGATGGAAGGTGGTGTATGGGTGCCACTAAAAAGCAACATGGGTTTTTAGTGGGTGGGCCAGGAGAGGACAGAGTATCTTGGCATCTGACTGATCAGGTCAGTAGCCAACTTTTTTTCTCATCATTTTAGCCTGGGTCCAGGACTCTTCCTACTGTTTTCTTTCTGACCCTGCTTAGGGATCCTGCAGTCCTTAGTCCAGAATGTTCATTGTAGGTTAGTTAATTCTGATATCTAATGGTACTTTGATATTTTCTAGTATCTATAACCACAAACCAGTGGTCCATGTCTAAAGCTCATCCTCAGACATGTTTTCTTTGGGCTACACAGAGAAAATCCAAATGTCTGATATTGCTTGGAAAGTGGACAGACCAAGACGGAGCATGAAACCCTGAGTTCAAGCCCCAATACTGGCACATGTGAGTACACACACCAAAAATAAATAAATAAATAAAACTTCCACCACCACCAACAAACCTCCACAGTTTTAAATTAATTCCGGAAGTTTTTTGGGAAGGTGGGATTTTTTTTTGAAATACGATCACATACTTTATTTTGCTAGTAAACTATATTAATACAGCTTTTGCCCAGAGCAAGTTGGTAAAGATTGTCTCTGGAGTCCCAGGGTCTCTGTGATGATTATCCAACTCTGCTACTACAGAGGGAGACCTGTAATATGTGGGTGTATCTGTGTTCTAGTGGAACTTATCCGCCAAAACAGTCCTGTATTGGATTTGACCCATCAGCTGTGGTTTTCTGACATCTAGCCAAAAAGCAACTAGTATAATTTCAAGAACAGCTGATGAATGAAAAAAGAAACATTATAAAGTGATCTTGTATTTTGAAGGAATTACCATCCTTATTTTAAGACTAAACAACTGGAGAGTTTGGGAAGGTCTGGTAAGTTTTCCTTGATTGTAACAATGGAAAGTATGCTATTTGGTGTTAGGAATGACTATACTTCCAATTTTCTACCTTTTAGGGGAGATTGGATACAGTCAGTGCAGTATGGCTATGGAGCAGTTTCATGTTTCCCAGCTATGCTGGGTTTGGGAATCTCAAGCTCCTTTTTTATTTAGTGTTAGGGAATCAAACCATGGTCTTCCCAATGCTAGGCAAGCACCCTACCACCAAATGACACTCCCAGCTCCCTAATTAACCTCTGAATAGTGCCATATTGTTAAATAAGCAATGGCATTTGTGAAAAAAAATCACATGAAATCCTAACTAGGCAAGAAAGGGATAGGAAAGCATGACGTGAGCACCAGGTGGGTGTCAGCATGAGTCAGTAGTTGGACAAGCTGTCCCCCGAGAGCCAGTCTTACCTCACAGAGTCATGATAGTCTTTGACTTTTAAGAATTCTCCAGGTGAGTGAAGAGGCTGTTTCAAAAGCCTCTTGATTGCAGATACATTCTCTCTGAGGTTTTGGAAGTCTACCTCACAGTCAGTCAGGGTCTCTCTTTTATCTTCCATGTTAGCAATTAACCCTTGCACTGCTTTGGAGAGGGAAGAAATGGTGTGGTCCCATTGATCAAAGCAGAAGTGACATGGAAGACAAGCAGGGAATTCCTGGTTGTGACCCCGGGCACAGCGGTCACATTGCTGGCCGCTAACACCCTCCCGGCAGTGGCACATGCCTGTGTCTGGGTCACACAGCGGCATCCGGCTTCCTTCACTGTTGCACTTGCATGCTTAAAAGGGAAAAGGAAAAGAGAATGTCACTTGGTACTGTGCTCATGACTAGTAGAGGAGGAAAGCCCTCTTCTCTCTCCCAAGGATATTCCCAACTCATGATTCTTGGGTGACTATTTAAAAACATTTGACTTCAAAGATCTGCATGATGGCCATTAAAATACAGCACGCCCCTCTGTATTCCAGTAACATATTAGCTCTGTTTTGGTTTTTAATATGGAAACTATCAGATGCTGTTTTATCTGTTTGAGCAAGGCATGTGGATGTCATGGGGCCTGTAGTGACTGTAGTGGCAGTAGTAACTGTGGTAGCTGCTGCCCATGTTGCTTCAGATGTGACACTGACCTTAAGAAGTCCCAGCCTGGGGCTGGGAAGGTGGCTCAGTGGTAGAGCGCTTGCCTTGCATGCCTGAGGCCCTGGGTTCGATTCCTCAGCACCACATAAACAAAAAGAAAAAAGCCGGAAGTGGCGCTGTGGCTCAAGTGATAGAGCGCTAGCCTTGAGCTGAAGAGCTGAGGGATAGTGCCCAGGCCCAGAGTGCAGGCCCCATGACCGGACCCCCAAAAACAAAACAAAACAAAAAAAAGAATTCCTAGCCTGGAGGCTCATCCCTGTCATCTTCTATTATATAAAGAGACTGTTTCATTCTCCATAAACTCTATGTACTTTGTCGTCGTTGTCGTAGTCTTCTTCTTCTTCTTCGTGTGTGTGTGTGTGTGTGTGTGTGTGTGTGTGTGTGATGGGGCTTGAACTCTAGGCCTGGGTGCTGTCCCTGAACTCTTCAGCTCAAGGCAAGCATTCTACCACTTAAGCCACAGTGCCACTTCTGGTTTTCTGGTAGTTAATTGGAGATAAGTCTCATGGACTTTGCTGCCCAGGTTGGCTTTGAACCACGATCCTCAGATCTCAGGCTCCTGAGTAGCTAGGATTACAGGTGTGAGCCACTGGTGCTCAACTGTCTTAATTTTTTTTGGGGGGGGTCCAGTTGTGGGGCTTGAATTCTAGGCCTGGGTGCTGTCTCTCAGCTCTTCAGCTCAAGGCTAGCGCTCTACCACTTGAGCCACTTGCGGCTTTTTTCTTTTTTGCTTATGTGGTGCTGAGGAATTGAACCCAGGGCCTCAGGCGTGCAAGGCAAGCGCTCTACCACTGAGCCACCTTCGCAGCCCTCTTAATTTTTTTAAAATAGCTGATCACATACAGCCCTTTGAGAAGGTTCTTGATGAAGTCAGAGGATGGGGGATGGGGAGGCCCTTGCTGTCACTACTATTTCCAAGAGTTAGCCTGTGTCTTCAGACTCATTGGATGAAACAAGTGGTGTAAAATGTATATGACAGTTTGATGGTAAATAATGCCAATTGCAAATAAAACTTGATTAGCACAATGGACTCCTCAGTTAGGTATAATCCATCAGATTCTACCCAGGGGCCTCATTCAGTGTGAAGCCTGTGGGGACAGCAGTATCACTTCACCATGGAGGCCACGGTTCCTCTCATTAAATGTCTTTGCCAGGAGCGTCCGTGGATCTGTGGCCTAACTTGGTTTGCAAAGTTTCCCAACGTGTTTCATTTATTTAAAAGAAAAGGAAAGCATTTTTTATGAAACAAGTTCCAAATAATTAGAGGGATGCAGGAAAAGAAACTTTAAAGACTTTTAAAGACAGATTTTTTTTTAAGAGCCAAAACTTCCTCCTGGTTTTATTGTTTTGTTTTAGTGCTTGGAGATGGCACGAGGGCCTTGTCCATGCTAAGTAAGCACACTACCACTGCGGTACAGCCCCAGATTCTCCTCCCTTGTTGGAAACCAGCGATTCCACTCAGAAAACTGAGTTAAAGCATGGCCTGGAGCAATTCACTGAGGATATGTTTTCTGAATGGGGCAAAGGAATGATGGCAATATTTCTGTTAGCTATCAGAGTACACATAAATGGAGTAAAGAGAAGAGTTACTATGCATAGCAATGTAGGGGTGATAATGATTACATATCGGTCACACCTTGGAATCAGTTTGCTTTGGAAGCTGACTTTAAACAACAACTCAAAAATCTCACTTCCTAGAACCAACCTGGCCTCCAAATTTGTGCTGCCCAATATTGTCCCCACTAATCACATGGGACTATTTCAGTTAAATAAATAAAATGAAGCGAATGTGCGCTTCTGTTCCTCACTTGAAGTGTCTGTGTTTGACGTCAAGTGTTTGACAGTGTCCTGTGGCTAGTGGCTCCTGAAGTAGACAGTGCAAAGACAGAACTTCTCCTTCATGGATCAAAGCTCTACTAGACTCTACTATTGCCTTATGCCCTACTCAAGAAATGTCAGGCACTGGAACACAAACTCCAAGAGGAATGGTGGCTCCTTGCTGTTCACCAGCTCTAGTACCCAGCCAACATTTCATGAATTTTGGTTAGATAAATAAGCAAACGATTATTTAATAGACCTAGAGCTACAGATTTATTTTGAGGGAATATTACTCTGGCTAACTCTGACCTATCTCCCAGCTTTGTTACACCTCAATCCACAGTGGTTGATTTTCCTTAGCAGGCTTCCCAAGAGTGAATAATGGGCTCTCATCCATAATCCTGGCGTTTTGTGCCATTGTAATAACTTTGAGGGGTTTTGACACGAGTTACAAGTTTTAACATAGATTCACATTTTAATACAGGCTAGAAATTTTAACACAGGAGAAATACATCTTTTTAGAGAACTGCACAAGTATTATTTTCAAAAGTAGTATTTAACTTTTGTGGTTTTCTAAGTTCATATTGCTAAAAGCAACAGCCAAAGAAAAGAAATTGAGACTCGTGGGGTGGGTTTGCATTATGCCCTGTGAGGACCAGCTGGCTGTACTCTTGTGTTGTTGGAGTTCCAGTACTTACGGATGCATTGTCTGGATGGGTCACTGTAGTAATTTTCCTTGCACTCACTGCAGCGTTTCCCACCATGGCCCAGTTTGCACGGACACTGGCCTGTAAGCTGTGAGAACAGTCATGGGTGAGGAATTGACAAGTGTTATGGGCTGAGCACATGATGAATTTTCATAGGAAATGCTTTCCTCTCTGGTGATTTAGAACATACAGCTGTTCAAGGGTGGAGGAAGGACATTTCCCATGGCCAGCAAGAAGCCCGGACAATATCACGGATCCAGAGTTAATGTGTTTTGGCTCAGAGCTCTTGAACATACCGCCTGGTTCCAGCTGTTCAGGGACAGGTGGCCCCAAACTAGGAAACATACACAGATGTAAATGAAAACAAAACACACATTGGGAAACAGGCCACATTTTTTTTCCTCTACTGTTATGGGAGTTCCCCATAAGAGACAGAAGGAGAGAAGCCAAAGACCTGGCCCAACATTCATCAATTAATTTGGCAAGAAATGTTTCCATTATGGAATATGTCATGTAGTTTCTACCAAGGAGACTAATGTCTTACTCAACAAAATTATAGGTTTTTGTGTGTTTTATATTCATCATTTAATGACAGTTCCTTAACTGTGTTTTGGCTTTTATAAAAACTGAAGAGGTTGGCCATAACAGGAGAATGAACAGAACTAAATTATTTTTGTGGTATCTTAAATTATACTTGATCATATCTGCCTAAACATCTGTAAATATACTTCCAAAGAATAACTGGATTATATGGCAACTAGATAAACCAAGCTTCTCTCCACATTTGGAGATCCAATTAGCTCCTGCTCAAGTATAGGGAGTTATGAGTTTGTTTTCCCCAAGGCCTAACATGCTGATGGCTGTTCTTGGTTGTTAGGCAGTGTTTTCTTATACGAATGCATAATCTGCCTCCTTGTAACCTGCTCCCATTATTCTGAGCCTTGTCTTATAGAATTACACAAGCAGGCAGTCTCCCCATTCCCCAACCATACAAGCCATCTCAACTGCTCTTCATTTCTCTCCCTGGGGCTCACCACTTTTTATCACAAATACCATTTTCCCATCCATTACCCTAGTTGTCTTATTTTTAATATATAAATGTTTTGTCCACGTTTACAATGTAACACTTAGCAGAAAGACAAATCCTACATGTTCTCATTCATGAATAGAAGTTAAACATTGGATCTCAGAGAAATAGAATGATAACAGTGGTTATCACAGGCTGGAAAGAGTAGGAGGGGAGGATCCAGACCTCCTTCTACCCTTAAGCTCTTTTGTAGCTTAATGGATGCAAAGTCAAATGGGAGGTTTAAGTTCTAGTATTCTATAGCAAAGAGAGTGACTATGGCTAATAGTGACACATGTATGTATGTCACTATTATATATAAATATAAATAAATATATATATTTAAAAAGGGCTAGAAAACCTGAGCACCAGGCTCATGATCAGTGGCTCATGCTTGTAATCCTAGCTACTTAGAAGGCTAAGATTGGAGGGTCACAGTTCAAAGTTCCAGACTGGGCAAGAAAGTCCATGAAACTTATTTTTAATTAACCAGCAAAAAGATGCAAGTGGAGCTGTGGATCAAGTGGTTGAGCATCAGACTTGAGCAAAACAGCTCAGGGACATTACTCAGGCCATGAGTTCAAGCCCTGGAACCAGTGCACACACGCACGCATGCACACACACACACACACACACACACACACACACACACACGCACACAGAAAGCTAGAAGAGAGATTTTGGATGTTTTCAACACAAAGAAGTGACAAATGTTTGAAGCATAGATATGATAATTGCTCTAATTTGATCATGATACATTGTAGATGTGTATCAAAATATCACACCGTATTCCATAAAAGATAAAGGTACCTGTGCCATGTGCCTTTATAAAGTTGTCAATAGTTGTGGTGCTCAGCAATGACAGAAGCGCTCCACAAGTGCTCTGGCTGAGTGATAATTGTGTTGGCCCTGTGCACAGCATGACCTCCCCCCCACTGCAGCCTGGGCAGGCACAGCCTCTCTGGCATTCATGGCACTCTGCTGGCTCATCTGAAGGCTGCACACAACAAAAAGTCTCCAGTGTTTTTCTCATGAGCTGGTGCCAAATGATTACTCCTACCATGTATTTGTGCAAGACATTTATAAAATTCAGTTGCACAACTTTACTTTTACCCTGTTCACATTTCTTCTTGTTTCCAGCCCACACAATATCCTGGTAGGATGTCTGGCCTCATGTTCTGTCTTCATCATATTAGCTTACACCATTGCAGCATCTGCACATTTGAGAAGCTTGTTTGTCCAGCTCCATCTAAACTGTGAGGCAAACATTGGCCAGCACATTTGCATCTCTCTGTGGGAATGCACTAGGGACTACCTTCTGGCTGATACAGAGACATTTATCAGTAGTTGTTTAAACAGCTGGGAATCTAATTGTCCACATGTCTTCTCTGTATTCTAATGAAAGTGTTTTCTGAGTGTAGAAAGCAACCGTTCTCAAGGGATTCTCATGGACCAAACAACCCAAAGTGCCCTCATCACAAGGGGCTTTTCAGTTAAACTAATGCCATCTTATCTCCAAGTTCATAGGCTGCCTTGGGCTTCCACCAATGAACTGGGTGTTGAGGGCTGCTTCATATGCATCCCAAAAGATCTAAGTGGTGCCATGAATGTTAGAAGTCCTTTATGGTTTAGGAAGCTAAGCCATTATCTAGAGGTCTACCACTTTAGCTCATGTTTGATGGATGCAAGAGTAAAACATGACCATGGTATAGTCATCTAGTGCCCAGATCTTGGCTTCTAATGCTGCAGTAAAGAAACCAATGCTCATTGGAGGCATGACCAATTTGCTTTGGCCATGAGAAGCTCTTTAAATTGGCCAAAGCTGGAACAATTTAAATAACAAAAGAGCACTGACCCATAACAAATAGTATAGTATACGTATTCATGAATCCACAGTGATATAAATGAATGATGGGCTAGATGAGTATCCCAGGGGACAACAAACAAATCTGAGCAAAAGAACTCCAATTACTCACAGAAGGATGTAACTCTTCATTCCTTCCTTCCAAAGAGTACAGTGAGGAAAGGAGATATAGAGAGAGACCTGACAAATACTACAAATACTGCTAGGTGATCGAAATCCACGTGAAATTCATGTGCATATGACCTATGAGAAAAAGGGTAATTCAGCTCCCTGTCTTCTCACAAGCAAAAAGAGAAAGATATTAGATAAATCTGAATGAAAAGACATTCCATAAAGTACTCCTCAAAACTATAAAGGTCATTAAAACCAAGGGAAAACCTGAGAAAGTTTCACAGGCATGAGAAACCCAAGGAGAAATGACTAACTGTAATGAGTTCTGGGTGGGGTTTTGGAACCATAAGAGGACATGAGGTAAAAAATTAAGGAAGTTTAGATACATTTTAGAGGTTAGATAATGTGATAGATCAATATTGGCTCATTAATTGTGACGAATGTATCATACTATTATAAGATGCTAATAAGAGGGGAAATTAGGTTTGGGATATATTTTATCTGTATTACTTCACAGATCTACTTTTAAAATAACAATTTTGTTTTTGAAAAGGAGTGCTAGGTGCAGTGGCTCAAGCTTGTAATCCTAGCTACTCTGGGAGGTAAGAGATCAAGGGACCATAGTTTGAATCCAGACTTAAAGTTGATGAGGCCAGGTGCCGGTGGCTCATGCCTGTAATCCTAGCTACTCAGGAGGCTGAGATCTGATGATTGCAGCTCAAAGCCAGCCTGGGCAAGAAAGTCCATGAAACTCTTATCTCCAATATAAACCACCAGAAAACCGGAAGTGGCGCTGTAGTTCAAGTGGCAGAGCGCTAGCCTTGAGTTAAAGAGTGCAGGGACAGTGCTCAGGTCCAGAGTTCAAGCCCCATGACTGACAAAAAACAAAAGTTGATGAGATGCCATCTGAACCAATGGCTGGGCATGGTGATGTGCCCTGGTCCCTGTCATCCCCACCTATGTGGGCAAGTACAAGTAGGAAGATGATAGCCCAGGTTAGCCAGGGCATAAAGTGAGACTCTATCTTGAAAATAATCAATAGAAAATGGGGCTGCAAGGGTGACTCAAGTGGTAGGGTTCCTGCCTAGCAAGCATAAGGCCCTGAATTCAACCCCCAATACCACCTCCTCCCCCCACCAAAAAAAGAGAGGGGGATTGTGTATGTGTATGTTTGTGTGGGTTAGTGGGAGAGGGTTGCAGAAAAAGAAAATAAAAAGAGGAGAAAACATATTCTACCTTCAAGCAGGTTTGGTGACTCATGGCTATAATCTCAGCAGATGGAAGGCTTAGGCAAGAGGATTAAAAGTTTGAGGCCAGCCTTGTATTTGATTGTGTCTCAAAAAATTTTTTTTAAAGGAAAGAACTATCTTCAAAGTTTACTTATATAAGATGTGATTATTGAGTCGTAAGTTGAACAGTGGAGCTGACACTGAAGTTGATTCACACTTACTAATTTCAAGACTCCAGCTTCTTAAGTTAGCATTTCTTATTCCGATTAAAATTTTCATCGCTATATTATATATTTCAAATTTTCTAAAATTTCTTATTATTGTTTTAGTCCTATTGTTTATATCAATGTGAAAAGTATTTAAAAACATGTTTGTTAAGCCACAAATAAAGACAAAACAAAAAACAAGCATGATATTAATTTTATCTGCAAGAGGACAATATTATAGTTTTTTTAATTTTAAGTTTTCTTTAGCAGAAGTAAGGTTTGAACTGTGGACTTTGTGCTTTCTAGGCAGGTGCTATACCACTTGAAATACACCTAAGTACTTCCTGCTTTTTCAGTTATTCTTGAGATAAGGACTCACATTTTTACCCAGGACCAGCCTTGGTCTGCCTATATATGCCTTCTGCATAGCTGGGATTAAAAATATGAACCATGCTTGACTTGTCTGTTGAGTAGGCTTCTCAGTAACTTTTTACCCAGGCTACCCTCCAACTGTGATTTCAAATAAGCTGCAATTTACTTGTTACAGTATTTTAAAAACTCTACTCCTTGTTTCACCAACTAAAATTGACACATGCTGTTAGTGTGTATTAATTGAATTTTGAACAGAAAACCTGTGCTCTCTAGCTTACATTCTTTGTTGCCAGTACTGGGGCCTGAACTTATACTTGTGTGCTGTCCCTTAGCTTTTTCACTCAAGTCTGGCACTTCTGGATTTTGAGTGATTAACTGGAAATAAAAGTCTCATGGATTTTCCTGCCCAGGCTGGCTCTAAACCTCCATCTTCAGAGCTCAGGTTTCTAAGTGGCTAGGATTACAGGCATGACCTACCAGCACCTGGCTTTGGCCTATACTCTTTAGCCACCATCAGTGTTGGGGTGGAGGAAGATGACATTGGATTTGCCTACATGTAAAGCAATGGTGAGCCACAGGGAGTGACAGCTCCATTTACAAAATGGAATTTTATACTCTGAAGGCCTTTGTTTGCTTTCTCTCTGATCAACAATCCATGTCTCAGCTCTTCTCTGTGATTATGAGTATGAAGCAATGAAAGTGGTGTCTAAGTTGCCTAGGAATGGAGTTTGACTTTCTCATTAGATAGCCCTAAGGAAAATCAAAGAAGTTAATGCTTAACCCCAAGACCCTCATTCTCTCTCCCTCTCCCTCTCCTTCTTTCCTCCCTCTCCCTCCCCCACCCCCAGTGAGATTTTTAGCTTTGTTGTGAAATAAACACCAACTCTATAGGCCTGTATCAGACCACTTGTATCTACACACAATAATTACCAAAGGCACATAAAGCAAGCATTCTTTACCCACAGGAAATCATGCTTCATGGGCACTTTTCCCTCTGAGTGCACTAGTAAGTTTCAAAGTGTCTTGCCTGGTCACAGCGGCTACTCTGAGAGCCCTGGGGGTCACAGTTGCAAGGCTGGCATCCTCTGCCAGGAACTAGATTCCAGTATCCATCAGCACAACTGTCACAGGCCAGGCCTGTGACGTGGGGCAGGCAAGGGCACACACCAGTGACAGGGTCACAGAGGCACACTCCCGCATCAGGGGGACACGCAAGGGGATTCACTCCAGATGGATGACAGGAGCACCCTGGGATAATAAAGCCTTCATTAGAGCAGATTCAACAATGCTGGCAGGCGACAAACCACACACATAGCCTGTTAAGCCTAGATGTGAGATTTCCCTAAATAGCTCAAAGAAACCCCCTTTAACAGGATAGGAATTGTTAGGGAATCTAAGCAGGTTCTGAACATTTTTTAATTGCTTTTGATGGGCCAGATCATCAACACCCTACTATGTTCAAGAAGCTGGCAATGAGGAAGGCTGTGAACCTCATTTATCCTGTGTGCTCTCTCTCAAATCCTATTGATTTAAAGTTTTTTAATGCTTTATTAAGCAAGGCACCAGTGGCTCACTCCTGTAACCCTAGCTACTCAGGAGGCTGAGATCTGAGGATCGCGGTTCAAAGCCAGCCCATACAGGAAAGTCCATGAGACTCTTATCTCCAATTAACTACCAGAAAACTGTAGGTTGTGCTGTGGCTCATGTGCTAAAGTGTTAGTCTTGAGCTGAAGAGCTCAGGGACAGCACTCAGGCCCAGAGTTCAAGCCCATGACCAACATAAAACAAAAATGCTTTATTAAGCTGGGCGCTGGTGGCTCATGCCTATAATACTAGTTACTCAGGAGGCTGAGGTTCAAAGCCAGCCAAGGCAAAAAAGTCCCCATGAGTCTCTTATCTCCAATAAACTACACAAAAAAGCCAGAAGTGAAGCTGTGGCTCAAGTGGTAGAGCACTAGCCTTGAACACAAAGAAGTTCAGGGACAATGCCCAGGACCTAAGTTCAAGCCCTAGGACTAGGGGAAAAAAAAAAAGTGGTTTACTAAATTAACTTGAGAAAATGAAAATAGTTAAACTGTCCCCTAAAATGGGCACTTTACTTCTCTTTCTTGCTTATAAAAGCCTCATATTTATACATTAAAGTCATTAGATGAAGTTGTCAAGATCGATACAGATTCTGGGGCTTACTCACAGAGATTCTGGCTCACTGGATTGGAAGAGCAATCCAGCAATCTGCATATCAGTCCTTCACCACATCCCAGCCCCAGAGGAATTGGGCACAAGTACCATGTGGAGCACACTTTGAGAAGCAATACTTTGAATCGACCAGCACAGATGTTAAAGACAATCATCAAGGAAGGCAAGCTCTAAGGACAAGAGCCTTCCCTGCATGTTGAGAACACCTGGGTGGCACTGCCCTATTTCTGCTGACCGAAGCCCTATCACCCAGCAGGTGCTGCTTTTGCCTCAGGGACTGGCCTGACTGAAAGGAGATGAGAAGCGGACACCTTCTCATTTATGAGCTGCCCCTCAGCCACTCCATTTCCCGCCCTAGGAACTTGCAGACTTACTTTTGCAGGTCTGATTGAGAGCTGATCCAAAATGCCCCGGTTGGCAGAGCTGGCAGTGCGGGCCCCAAGTGTTGTGCAAACATCGGAGGCACTCCCCGGTGACCCGGCTGCAGGACTCAGGATCAGTTACATCTATGTTGTTGTTGCAGGCACATGGCCGGCAAGGCTCTCCAGAAACTCTTGGGTTGCCAAAGAAGCCAGGAGCACATTCTTCACACTGAGTCCCTGAAAGTGGGGAGGAAACCGGAAATGGATGAGGGGTCAGTGTTAGGAGAGGAGGAGAGGTGGAAGTTGTAAACAGAGTTATAGGGCTTCTCTGTGGGGGTAATGAGAAGTCACACACTGGAGTAAATAAGAAAAAAGTACTCTAAATTAAACAAAGCATATTTTTAATTATTATTCATTCAGATAATTAGAAAATTACTTAGAACTAGAAAGTTTTTAGTGAAGAATGGATTCTAGTCTTCAAAAACTAAGGAGTTGTGGGAACAGAATTTCTGTGTCTTTCTGCATAGCCAGAACTACTCTTTTCTTTTTTTTTTTGGTCCATCATGGGGCTTGAACATGGGACCTGGTCGCTTTCCCTGAACTCTTCAGCTCAAAGTGAGTGCTCTACCACTTGAGCCACAGTGCCACTTCTGGTTTTCTGGTGGTTAATTGGAGAGTCTCATGGACTTTCCTGCTCAGGCTGGCTTTGAACCACGATCCTCAGATCTCAGCCTCCTAAGTAGCTAGGATTACAGGCGTGAGCCACTGGGGCCTGGCCCAGAACTACTCTTGTACCTTAAAACCCAAAGCTCATCCCAGCTCCTGGATTCAACCCCTGCCTGCCCCCCTCACCTCCTTCTGGAATCTCCTAATTCTATCAGATTCTAGAAGTGACTGATTAAAATGAAGCAGTCTCAAAGGGAAAAGGCCAAATAAAAACAAATCAGTAGCCTGAAATATATATCTAGAAAGAGGCTGGGCTGAAGGAGTGTTTGATGCCTGAACTCTTGGAAGTGATTCTACAGAGCACTGAAATGGAGAAGCCATCTTTCCTCCAACTCTTCACAATCCTGAGAGTAGCAAGTGCTTAGATTTCCAAACTTGAGGCCACTCTCCACATTTTAGTTCATGTACTTGGAAATGTTCTTAGCCTAGTCTCAGTCTTTAAAAACGGACCCACTCAAGCCACATGTAAGCTCAGATATAACAAACAAGAGGAAAATCAACCATGTAATTTGTTATTATGCTGGTAATTATCATTGAACAAAATAATATAACCATATTTTCTAAGTGTGGTTAAATCAAGCAGAATATACCAGTTTTTTCTTTTGTCATTATACTTTTGCACTTTATTTATTTATTTGTATTTATTTATTTTTTTGGGTCTGGTCGTGGGGCTTGAACTCTGGGCCTGGGCACTGTCCCTCAGTTCTTCAGCTCAAGGCTAGCGTTCTACCACTTGAGCCACAGCGCCACTTCCAGCTTTCTTCTTTTTGCTTATGTGGTGCTGAGGAATCGAACCCAGGGCCTCAGGCATGCAAGGCAAGCGCTCTACCACTGAGCCACGTTCCCAGCCCACTTTCACACTTTAAAAATAAAGTTTTGTTTTGATGACAGATACAAGTTTTAATTCTTATGGAATATCTCCCACTTGCTCAAGTCATGCTTAAAGGCATCAAAAAGCTTAGTTACATCTATGAACTATCAGTCCAACCAACTGCTTAAAATTATACAAAGAGTTTGACCAATTAGAGTAATTTTACTTACATAATATGTAATATATGACATATATGTGCTACCTGATCATATGTGCAACTTAATATATAATAATATTTTAAATAAATTTGATTAATTTTCTGAAACATTATGTAGATATAATTATAACTCAGTTGAATGAGGTTTTAATTGTCATTGACGTTTTAATCATTGAACTTCTTTGTTCAGTTAAGTAACAATTTCGTTACTTGTACTTTCTTACCATGCTTATTTGTCCAAAACAGGGAAAGTATGACTGTGTGATCATTTTCCAGTTGTTGTATGGGATGAAAGAAAGAAAACATGGGCTATCCTTCATACCTGAATAACCTTGGAGACAGTTGCAGGTGATATCTGAGGTCCAAGGACTCTGAGAACAGGATTGGGCAAAATACTGATCACTTGAGGGACCATCTGGACACAGACAAGGACGACAGGATTGTCCTGAAGTAGGATTTCCATAGTAACCATCGATGCACCTGTGAAGGCAATTTCCTTTTACCAAAATATTCCAAGGACTAGCTTATGTCTTAGCCAATGTGGATTTTCTATGCCTTAGGGTAATGCAACCCTCAAACTCAACGTTTCAGAAGATTCTAATTTGCTCTGTAAAATGATTTTTTTCTGTTATATTGAAAGTGTCAAGTCAAAAGACTGAAGTCATTAAACTCAGTATAATGGCCCTTTGTGGTTTCAATGTTGCATCTGAATATCAAAAGGGCAAGTGTCAGGCACATGCACAGTTGATTTAATCAGATATTTTCTGGCTCATAGAATGACTCTGAAGGACAGGGAAACAAAATGATGTCCCTCCCCGCCTCCCCCCCCCATCCTGCAGCAGGCACTCTGCAATGAAATAGTGTTGAGTCTTTACTCAAGGCTCCACTCCATTGTGAAATCAGAACAAAGTTTAAAGAGGTAAAGGTAACATGCATGTGAATTCCACACCTCTCACAATGTTTTCCTGTTGTAAAGCCTCCACAATTGAAGCATGACCCTGTGTCTGGATCACAGAGTTCAGCAAACCCATGACAAGAGCAAGGATGGCAGCTGGGAAATCCAAAGTATCCGTCCAGGCACCGATCACAACGGCGGCCAGTGACCTCTCCATGGCAGGCACATTGGCCGGTCACTTGGTCACAAACTGTGCTCTTGGAACCTTCCGGGTGGCAGTGACATGCTGGGTAAGGCAAAAAGAATTATGTTAAGGACACAGGGAAGAGGTGTGGTAGTGAAAGTTATTGGGAACAGCCTCTCATATAATGAGTCCCAGGTAAATGTTTGTCAAGCAATGTTTCACTGATTCATTCAATAAGCAGCAGGTTGTAAACAACTGGATTTTATGAGCATTTGTTTTTTGTATGGCAAAATCAAACAAGTCACATGTTCTCAATGACTCAAACTTCTGTACACGTTAGGAGTTCGAGTGTAACTTTGAAGTGCTCAAAAAAAAGTAAAACTTGTCAGGAGGGGTAGGTAATTCTTCTTCCTAGATGAAGTAGAAGAAGCCACAAACTTTTCTGGTAAATATCTGAATCTTTGAGCCCATCTTTGCTCAAAAGCTTAAGCTTATTTGCTTGGTAGGGTTCGACACAAAATAAATATTTGCTCTTCTGTGTAGATTCTTTTGCATATCATGAAGACTTGATAACTTTAAAAAATAAAAAAAAGGGCTGGGAAGGTGGCTCAGTGGTAGAATGCTTGCCTTGCATGCATGAGGCCCTGGGCTTGATTCCTCAGCACCACATAAGCAGAAAAAGCCAGAAGTGGCTCTGTGGCTCAAGTGGTAGAGTTCTAGCCTTAAGCTGAATTGCTGAGAGACAGCGTCCAGGCCCAGAGTTCAGGCCCCAGGACTGACAAAATAAGAAAAAAAAAAAAAAGGAAAGCACCATTTACTGGGTAGGTAACCGTGCCCAAGCACTGGCCAGGAAGTGAATCAACCATCTTTCCTAGTCTTGTCTGGAACAATATAATTTCCTACCTAAAAGTAGAATTAATCTGCCAGTGGGTTTCATAGTTCCTAAGGTAGTTTCTGTGGGAAGTAAGATTTTCACTAGTGGTTTACATGGGGTACAGAGAACTATACATCTGGAATGTAACAACCGTAAGAGGTAAATTACCAGCTACAGCTGAAGTTCCCTCTAAGCCCTTATTAATGGGTCATTTACAAAGGAGGCTATTTGTGACCTCAGCATGAGAAAGGGAAAGATCCTCAGCAGAGGAGGTGTTGTGTGCAGTGACAGTGTTGTCCCTTTATTGATTTTCCAGACACATCGTTGTTTAGTCTCCTTAGCCACTGTTCTTATAGTGTCAATCACGATGCTGGGTTTGCATAGCTGGCATTAGGTTTCCCCCTTTTACCTGAATCCCTTCCCATTCAATACACACTGCAGAAATATGGGCCACCTTTTGTTCATCCCTTATGGTTTCTCTACGCACATTGCCCACGGATCGGTGGATGAGTGAAGAGGTGGTAGAAAAATCTTTAGCACATTTCAACTACACGTAGATGGAATCTGAAGAATGTAGTCAAGTTCCCAATTTTCTTTTCTTTAAAACTCTGCATATCCCTTTCCATACGTTCAAAATGCCTAGGTTGTAAACAACCATTTTCCACTGTAAGTGTGTGTGTGTGTGCGCGCTACGTACGGTGACAGCCATGATGCCCCAAACTGTAGCTTCCAGTGGAGCACCTGTCACAGCAGCGCCCAGCCACGAGAGGTTTACATTGGCACTGGCCTCCAAGTCGGCTACAGTTGGTCCCGACTGCACCCTGGGGGTGACACTTGCAGGCTGCAGTGAAGAGAGGGAAGGGAGTAGAGGTGAAGGAGAGGCAGAGAAGTTTAGTTTACTCATCTTTCATTTAGTACTTCTTCAATTCTCAACTACTTCAACTAGGTATTCTTGTAATGATTGAAGGCACTAATGCCTATTTAGTACTGAGAATAGTGTTTGATATGTAGTAAATAATAAACCTAAGTTAATGGCAGGCTTAAAATAAATTGTTTTAAATAATGGATTATTCTAATGTCATTGTTAGTATTGGTGTTATTATGACTGTAATTCCTAACATTGTTTGCTGGAGCAGGAATACATTTTATGATGTAGATATGAAGCTTGTTTCTTAATGCAGCCTTGTTCAGAAGTGGTGCTATTAGAAAGTGATAGGCGGGGCTGGGAAGGTGGCTCAGTGGTAGAGCGCTTGCCTTGCATGCTCAAGACCCTGGGTTCGATTCCTCAGCACCACATAAGCAAACAGAAAAAAGCCGGAAGTGGCGCTGTGGCTCAAGTGGTAGAGCGCTAGCCTTGAGCTGAAGAGCTGAGGGACAGCGCCCAGGCCCAGAGTTCAGGCCCCATGACCGGACCCCAAAAAAAAAAAAAAAGAAAGTGATTGGATCACAAGGGTTCTGACTTATCAATGGGCTAAACCCATTGCTGGCTTCGTCATTTAATAGTGTTATTGAGAGGTGGTTGAAATTAGTAAGTAGAGCCTCCTTTGAGGTGGTAGATCATGATTGAGGGTGTGCTCTGGGTATACTTGGTCTCTGCATTCATTCCTGTCTTTCTCTGCTTTCTGGACACAGTAAGGTAAGGAGTTCTACTCTACCTTCTCCTTCTGACATGCTACTCTGCCTCGCGCCCCCTCCCCCACCGTGCCCCCCTCCCCCCCCAGCTCAGAAATAATGGAGCAATGGAGCTAGCCTGCCTTGGGCTGAAACCTCTGAAATGAACAAAAATAAGCCTTTATTCTTTTACATTTATTTCTTCTACATTTATTTCTTCAGGTATTTGTCACAGTAATGAAAAAGTGACTAATGTATATCCCTACCAGTTTTTCATTTCCTCTGTTCTGTTTCATGGGAGGTGGGCATGCTGAATCCATAGCTCTGCTAAAGGAAAAGGTACTTGCCAGAGGCCAGGCCAGCACTGAGATTAGTGCTCTACTGTGCTAGTGCTCAGCTGGCGAATGATTCTATCTCTCAGAGATATTTGAGAAAGTTTGGAGACAGTTTTAAGTGGCATAACTTGAGGAGAGTGATGCTGGTATCAATTGCATAAAGATGTAGTGAAGCATCCTATATGCAAAAGGCAGCCCCCCTGCTACAACCAAGAATATCCACCTCAAAATTTCAGTAGTGCTGGTATAGAGAAATCCTATAAAATAGCTAAGTGGAATGGGCAAATTATGTAACATTTGGAACCCTAACACCATTGTTTATTAAATGAAAGTTGGAATGAAAGAAGTGGGTTAGATTTCCTTCCAGCCTTAGGATTCCAAAATGAATGTTTTAGGACCATTGCTCCAGGGAGCTAGTGCTCCAATGCTGTCATAAAGTTCATCTTTTATACACTTACCACACTGTGAATTACCACTCCAACACGTCACTTGAGTGAGGTGTTTTGTTTGGAGTGGATCCTGAAGCAAATCAATTCACTCAGGTTTCAAAAAGCATTTGTACAGATCTCATTGTTTCTGTAGTGCCATCGAACAAGATACTCACCCACTGCCCCATCGTGCATCTGGGCAGATAAGCTGACCACGAGCCTCTCACATGCCTCAGGGAGCACTCGAGCTTCCACTTCCCAGGCCATCTCAGCACAGCCATGCATCTGGTACTCCTCCATGTCCTGCTTGCTGCAGAAATCCTCCAGGGAATTGACATGGGGAACAAGGCCAAGCTTTTGAGATAATGAGAAAAGAAGACTCACGCTCTCTGCTGTCCAAGAGTCTCATTATGTTAAAAAAAAAAACCAAAAAAAAAAAAACCCAACAAAACTGATTTCTGAGAAAAGTGATCCAAAGAAGCTCAATCCAATTTCCAATTTAAATTGCCTCAGGCTGAAGAGTTGATGTTCTCAACTAATTAAGAAATATTTTGTATTTATAATATGGTATTTACATGGTGAAAACAATAGCTTTTTTTTACTTTTTCTTTCTTAATGTTTTAAAAATATGATTTTATTATTATTAAGGTGTTATATAGAGGGGTTACTGTTTCAAAAGTCAGGTGTAATGAGTATACTTCTCTTTGGACAATGTCACCTCTTTCTTTGATTTTCACCAGTTTTCCCCTCCTGTCTCTGCCCACAAGTTGCATAGTTCATTTTCCACATAGTGTCTACCGAGTACCATGTTTGTTTGTTTTTAAAATTATTTTCAGGTTTTTTTTCCCCTTAGATTTGAAAGACTTCTAACTAGGTTATTTGTGATAGTGTGGCACAGTGCAACTCTAATTCCACCAGATTCTTCTCTAAATTAAAAAAATGATATGTAAACAGTGATGTTCTACATCAAAGGGTACTGGATTCTTAGAGATTCACAGTAAAGATTAAAATGTTAGCGGCTCTAAGAAGTCTTGTAAGAAAGACACTTCTTAAACCCAACGCTCCCACAGTTAATTACTCCATCCTATATCCAAATAATACTTATATTCCCTAAAACCCACATTTTTACAGAAGCAATGCAGCTATTATAGGGACAAGTACATCACTGCACACTTATTTGCAAAGAGGAACCACCTCTAGTTTAGTATCTATGTTAGATTTTTTTTTCTGGGGGGGGGGGATCCAGTTGTGGAACCTGAACTCTGGGCCTGGGCTGGGCTCTGTCCCTTAGCTTTTCAGCTCAAGGCTAGTGCTCTACCACTTGAGCCACAGCGCCATTTCTGGCTTTTTTTTTCTGCTTATGTGGTGCTGAGGAATCAAACCCAGGGCCTCATGCATGCAAGGCAAGCGCCCTACCACTGAGCCACCTTCCCAGCCCCTAGTTTAGTATCTATGTGAAGAAAGGCTATTCATAGGTTTCAAGAGGACAACTAAATTATGAACTAGTATTATTTAAATATGTATGAATGCTCTTGATGATACAGTGGAGAGTGTTGATAAGGCTCACAGGCCATATCAGCAGGTTATAGTGAACACTTGGTGTAAAAACCAGTGTTAAAAATAGGTTGTCATTCCTCAGGAGACTGACCCAGTGGCCCAGTTAAACCTTCCCTGCTCTTCTGCTTTGTACTGAAACAGTTTCCAAGACCCTTTCCTCGATCTGTCCCCACCCAGCCTTCCCCTAGTTGTTTTTTGGCACCCCTGCAGGTAGGATCTCAATCCCTGGTAACTGGGCCAGTGTCCTGGTTCCTCCAACATATATCCTCATGGCCTCTGCACTCTGGGATTCTTACTCCTCAGCTTCACAGACGCTCCAGCAAAGGGACTGGGGCTTCCCAAACTCATGTGTTTCCACTTTTCCAATTCTGTGTGTTTAAGGAGGAAGCTGAGTTTCCCTGGAGGAGGTGACTCACTGCCATTTACCTACTGCAAACAAACAAACAAAACCATAAAACAAAAAACCTGTGGCTTCTGCTTGCTTGTTTCAATTCTCCCTCTCAGCTGACATTCAACCATACTCACCCCTCTCCCATCAGCAAAAAGAGCTCCTTGATCTCACGGATTCCTCCTACCACTTCCCTGTTTCTGCCCTTAGCTCCTTGAGACCCAGATTTCTTTTTTTGGGGGGCGGGGGTCTGGTTGTGGGGCTTGAACTCTGGGCCTGGGCACTGTCCCTCAGCTCTTCAGCTCAAGGCTAGCGCTCTACCACTTGAGCCACACTTCTGGCTTTTTGCTTATGTGGTGCTGAGGAATCGAACCCAGGGCCTCATGCATGCAAACCCAGCGCTCTACTATCTATAGGCGACTGGTCTCTGAATTTGTGTCTCTTTTCCAGTGGACAACTCCACATCTACCCTGGCCTACCTGTCTATTGGTTGTCCTACAGGTTGTAACCCAACACACCTGAACCTCTTTTCCTGTCTGTGCTTATTCTTGATAAATGATGCCGCCACCTGCCACATTCTCAGTGGAGGAAACAAGATGGATATTGTAGGCATGTGCTTGGTCATCCACTCCCCCCACCCCACATCCCACACTTAGCACATTAATCACATCTTGCTCACTATCTCCTCTTAAATGTATCTAGAATGTTCTTCATGCCCCTGCCACATTCTTAGATCACTAGAGTGGTACACAATTGATATCTCAGCTTCCATTCTTGTCATTCATCAGTTTTCTACATGGTAGTCATAATGACCCCTTTGCATGTGGTTAGTTCAGGCAATCTTCTTGTTAAAACTTTACAGTGGCTTCCCACTGCTTGTGGATAAAATCTAACATTCTTTCTCTTTATTCTGTATCCCCATTCCCATCCTCCCAGACAGGAGTTCTTGATATCAGAGACACCTCCCCTCAGAGAGATTTGTTGGAATGGTTTTGGTAAGCACAGTGATTGGGTGTGGTGTGTTACTGGCATTTAGTAGGTAAAGATCAGAAATACTAGACTTTCTCATAAAATGGAAAATGATCTCATGTTCCTCTGAAGGACAAAACTCAGTCTATAATTGTCTGAGCTGAGGCACTAAGTTTATGCTTTTTTCTTTTCTTTCTTCCTTTCCTCTGTTCCTTCCTTCCTTCCTATCTCTCTTCCTTTCTATCTTTATCTCTCTCTTTCTTTCTTTTTCTCCCTTTCTTTCTTTCTTCCTTCCTTCCTTCCTTTCTTCCTTCCTTCCTTCCTTCCTTTCTTTCTTTCTTTCTTTCTTTCGTGCTGGAGATTGAACTCAGAGCCTCAAGAAATGTTCTATGACTTAAGCCACAACTCTTTTGTATTATTTAGTTTTTTTGTATTATTTAGTTTTTCAGCCTCAACTCATAATCCTATCACCTCTATCTCTTGAGTAGTTAGTATTAAAGCATGCACCACCACACCTTTTAAACATGGAAGGGTATCTACAACACACCTGCTTTATGGCTGTCTCACAAACAATGAGTCTACATATATGAGCATCTTTCTATTTCATCATGTCTTCTGGTATACTCATTCCTGTGCATACTACATACTGTTCTAAGATTGCATATTGTATAGCTTTATTTGGAAGTTATATGTGCAAGTAGACTATAGTGCATATAACTTTCATTCCAGGATAGCATGAGAAAGTGGGGTACAATAGCATGGATAGTAAGTGTCCCCAAAGGCCCATGGGCCAAAGCCTTGTTCTTTGGAGTATTACTTTTGGGAGGTGACGGAGACTTTAAGAAGTGGGAGCTAGTCTGAGGTATGTTGGCTCCTGGGGGCCTGTCTCACAGAGGGCGTAGCTGGGCACTCAGCCTGCCCTCTTTTCTCCCTTGTCCCTCTTGGCCATGAGGTAATTTTTGGTGTGACTCCATCATAACCCCTTGTCACAATGTCCTGCCTCACCACAGCTCCGAAAGCAACAGGGACCATCAGCTACTTACTAAACTTTCCAAACTGTGAAACTCTTACCACTGGAACACTGGGCTCAGCTGAGGTCAAGAGCCATAGTGTGAGTTAGTGAGTTTTTCAGACACATCTCCCAGGACCTTACACCCCATGCTTGTCTGTATCTCTTCTTTGGAGAGTGAACTCCAGGGGAATGGTGATGGTGTGTGTCTGGTTTCTAACTGTGCCTACCACATCATTTAATTTACAATGAGTATTTCATAAATTTTGTTCAATAAGGAATCATATGTATATGTCTATTATTGCTTCTTTAAGTTTATACTACAGTGACTCTTCATTCTTCAAGCACAATACAGGTGGAAAGAGACACAGAAGACAAGGAGATGGTGTAGGACTGAAGATAAGGGTAGCCAGAGATCTGAGCTTCTTTAGAGTTGGCTATTCCTGGACCCAAGCGGACAGACCAGGTGAGAAAACGCTCTATCAGCTATACAATTAGCTGATAGAACTAAAAACTAAAAACTTCTAAGGATTTTATGCTTATTAAGTGTAGTCTATTCCAGGGTTTGAAAAGACTGGCAGCTTTATATCACAGAATAATTAATATACTTTTGATTCTAAACAGTTTTATGGAGGCACGTATCTTATAATAAGAGTGCAAATAAATCTTAACTGCACAATACTTTTTTTAAAAGGCAGTTTTGCAGAGAAAATTCTGCACTGAACAGGCTTTATTTGTTCTTGTTGGTTTGTACCCTGTTCTTAGATGCAAGTGGCAAACAGGTTGAAGAGAAACACAAACTTGGAAATGACCAAGTCCCAGGTGCCAATTCCCACAGCAGCAAAATCGGTAGGGTAGCGTTAGCCACATTCCTTTACAATAACAAAATGTACACTGACTTTCTCCTACTGGACAACCTGGGTCAGGGACCCAATGGTCAATGTAGGCGTCCAGCCAGGATCCTCTTTGACAGGCTAGAGTACCTGTCCAGCTGCTGTGACATTGGCTCCTAAAGGCCCACAGCTGTCTTTTCCAGAAAACAGCACCCAACCACCTTCATCAGGAATCTATGTACTCACTAAAGGACAGGTGAGCCAGTAGCCAATAACCTGGGTACATTTGGGCCACCCTTTTGCCACCAATGGACTCACTTCTGTGGTGCAACGTGGACTGAAGCAACACTTCAACCACCCTCTAAAGTGGTAGGATTCCCTAGCCCCCAGTCTTTCAGTAATGCCCATATACTGTAGTGGCTGTGAGATCTGGAAGCAGACAATGAAGTTTCCATTTCTAACCCCTCACTCACCACCTCTGTGAACCTATGCCTCAGTGGCCCTATCAGTGACAGCATGTACTTCATAAAATGCTGTAAGGATTATAGGTCCAACACTTGAAGTTAGTACTATGATATGCTGTGACATGCAGTTTACAATGGCCATGAGGTGACTTGTATCATTAAAAAGATACATTTCTGTTTTAAAGAAACATCTCACCAGAGTTTACAAGTGGAATCATAATGGCACTTAATTGAGACAAAGCACGAAAAAGAACAAAAAAACAAAAACAAAAAAAAACAAACCTCTGATATACTTACAGAATCAACCTGGATATAAGAATGAGCATGAGACTCTCCTTCCAAAGGCTGAGAAAAATAGAGATCTATGGAATATTGCACATCTGGTCCTAAACAGATGGGTGTGGGAAGTAGTGCGAGTCTGTATTAGGAGAAAGAAAGTGAACATGTCAGACACAAAGGCTCAGTTACCTTACCGAAGTGGCCACAGTATTTGGTAGCATCTCACTTGATGGGAGACTTCATCGTTGGGGCTAAGGCAAGGCCTAGTGTACATCAGAACCTTTGAGCTGACTGAACAGTTAATTTATACTTACACAGGATTTATACTTCCACAGGGTTGTGTCAAATAGCAAAATCTTAGAAGGCACTGGTATGGCTTGACTTCTCTGGAGAAAGCACAGGCATAATATCTACTGTGCTGTTATCTATTTCAGATACTACAATCTCTGATGCGGCACAATGAGTGGCTTCAGAATTAGTAGTGTTTACTGAAAAGGCTCTTGGCTATGGAGAGAATGCAATGTCCTATATGTTGGAAAGGGAAGGAAGGAAGGCAATGGGTAGGGAAGATGAATGGAGAGAAGGGTGGGTGAATTCAGTCATAATAGTCAATATACATGTGTGCAAATGGACCCAGGGAAATTGAGGGTTAGATGGGGTTGGGAGAGATGGGGGAGAATGCTTGAAGGGGTAACATTGAGTAAGATGTATTATACTCGTAAACTGATACTTGGACCAGTCATTTAAGTTTTCTTCTCTTTGATGAAGATATTCCTCTGGAGTATTTGAGATTAAATATAATATTAAACATAATGTGCAGTGTAGCATGCAGTAAATTCAAAATAAATGTGACCATCTCCCTCAATAGGCCTCTTCCCCACTTAGTAACCCAGGATCAACACATGGGCCAACTTCTAGGAAAAAAAAAAAAACCATGTTTAAAGTCAGGCCCCAAGCATACCTGGAAGCTGCTGGCAAGGTAAATGCCAGAGGTGTTAGTTGTGGAGTCCTGTGAATGCAATGGTCATTCACGGCAGGGGGGTTCACCACAATCCGGACAGTCCAGTCGGCTGCAGTCTACACAGGGAAGATATCACAACATGTCACTGCAGGATGCAAGAAACCCGTCTGTCCCCACACTCGTATACTTACAGATAGGAGAGGGTGTGGGACTGAATTTGCAAGCCACAGCTCACTTGGGAAACAGAGTTTTGGAGTTGAAAGACATTTGGGTGGTTTTCCAACAGGCCCACCTCTCTGGTGTCTACATTGTGATCTGGGCAGGAAGAAAGCTGTCTGGCTATAGCTATAGCCCAGGGGCCTGGAAAACCCCTAACCTTCCTAACTGGTCCAATCTGTCTTCAAAAGAATTAACAAAATCATCATGGCTTTGGATCACAGAAAAAAGAGCAACAAATGGAATCCTTTATAGATGGTTACATATTCATGCATCTCATACATGCACACACACATGGTAAGGAGAGGAGGGAAAAGTGGGATGGGGGGGGAGATAATTAGCTATATTCTGGAAGTCTTACAATTAGAAAAGGCTTTTTAAGCTGTTGGGAATAAATTTCTTTTTTAATGGCTTTCATACTTTTATACTGACCAGGTCAGTTTGTTGAAATCCTTGGCTTTTTCTTATAAGCAAAAAATAGGGAAGTGCATCCTATCAAGAGTTACAAAGTAGGCCAGCAGAAGTGGCCATGTGACATGCAGTGACCCCCCTTCTAGAATGTGGACACAAGGGATTTTGGGGTCTCTAAGACCATTCCCTGCTCAAACTGCTGGGGCTTACACTCAGGGACTCAGGGTTGCCAGGCCAGTGTTTTATTACTGAATCACATATCTCTGGCCCTTCCTTTGCTTGCCTTCCTTCCTTCCTTCCTTTCTTCCTGCCTGCCTGCCTGCCTGCCTGCCTCCCTCCCTCCCTTCTTCCCTCCCTCCCTCCCTCCCCTCCTTCCTTCCTTCCCTTCTCCTTCCTTCCTATTTTCCATTCTCTCCTTCCCTTCCATTCCCTCCCTCCCTTCCCTTCCTCTTCCTCCCTCCCTTCTTTCTTTTTTCCTCCCTTCTTTCTTTTTCCCTCTCTCCCTCCCTCCCTTCCTCTCTTCCCTCCCCCCCCTTTCCATACTTGTACTGATGCTTGAACTCAGGGTCTCACACTTTCCCTTGGCTTTTTCACTCAAGGCTAGAGTTCTGCTTCTTGAGCCACTTCCAGCTTTATGCTGGTTAATTGGAGATAAGGTCTCCCAGACTTTTCTCACAGCCCAGGCTGGCTTTGAACTGTGATCTTCAGATATCAACCTCCTGAGTAGGTAGGATTATAGGTATGATCCACTAGCACTAGAACTAAAACATTTTTTTTCAAGGAAGATGGCTGGCATGTTTCAGATTACCCAAGAAAGTGTTAGGAACTACTGCTTTAGATCATGCACTTTGAATATTTGGTTCCTATTCTGTTTCAGGTTTCTCCAGTGGTATAGGGCCTGTGATGTGGTAGTAGCAGAGTAATGGGACCATATGCAATTAGTCTTTCTCTGGTTACAAGGCAAGATCTAAATGCAAATAAAAAATAAAGGTTTCTGCTGCATCTCTGAGTCAGAATATCTGTGCATTTTTGTTTATTAATTTTTGAAAGAAACATCCCTAGAGAAGCAGAATTTGTGTTGTTTCTGTTGCTTATTTTTCTTATACAAACATTTTGTCACCACTTTCTTCAGCCTGGTCTTTCAAACATTTAACTGCAACTTTACTTCACCATGAGTAACGCATGTATGTATATGTCTCATGGCGCTACTTCAATATCTTAAGGAAACCCTTTGGCTTATAATGCTTTCCAGATGGTTATTTTTCCTCAAGTCATTTTATGATGAACTCACTTAGCAAGGCTAAAATGCTGGAAACTATGTGAGAATGTATTTCTCAGCTTTTTGCCATCACAGAGTTGGAGTTGAAGAGTACCTGAGTTTCATAGCGAACAACAATGGTGAAATCCATAGGAAAAGGAATGTTGTTGACAGCAAATCTCAAGCCAGCCCCAGGGAGAACCCTGGCAAATCCAGGTCCAGTCCACGTAACAGGGCTCCCAGGTTCCAGCTCTCCCAAAACAATGTGAACAGCAGACACCTGGCCAAAAGTCACGGAGAGGAATGTAAATTTATTGGCCTATAGTCAAGGCCTGTAAGAGTTCAGGAAAAAAGAGAAGTATTTCTGTGCATCTATAGGCTCCATGTGAGTCATGGTTAAATTATTTCAACCAGAACACAGAAGAATCCTGCTGAGAACAATGTGCTAGGCTGGCAGCTTTGGAACATAGATCACTGCACAGAATAAGGAATGAAAGTTGTATCACAAACCACTTTTAATGGTCAGTACCTTGTGTACTAGTGAGCTAAGCAAACTCCATATTAACAACATTTTCTTGGCTGTAATTGTGGAATTCTAGCCAAAATAGGGAGGAAAAAGAATATTCCCATGCTTTCTTTGGGGATCTTGTCTCATATGCACGGCAATGAGAAAACCCACGTGGCTTTATTTCCTCTATGTTTCTTTTATGCAGCATGAGAATGTTCTTCTATCTGTCTGAGGACATCTAAATAAAAACTCTTAACACACTTGATGGATGAGAACCCTTCAGAGTCTCTGCTGGAGGTGTGCCAGAGGCCATCTGGATCCTATAGACAATATTCTTTAATTACTTTTGCATCTGCCTCTCCACACTTACAGCCTGAACTCAAAATCTGTTTTAGTTATTCTTTGCCTGTGTTGCTGCAATAGCTTTTGGCTATACTCTCCACTCTGTCCTTGTTCCAGTATCTTCTACATACTGTTGCCAACAAAGCATTTCAAACTCTACCTAATTGCCAGCAGTGTAATGCTCGAATTACTTAGCCTGGAGTTGAAGTTGCTCTGTGATTTACCCCCAAACTGCCTTTCATTTAGTAAATGCTTACTTAGTAACGATTATGTGCTAGCCTCTGAACGAGGAATATCAAGATGAACAGGACAAGATACCTGGCCACAGAAGGGTATTGCAAAGGAGACAGAAATATAAATATGAAACTGTACCACTAGATTAAAGATCAATATATGTAAATTCATCCCATTGAATGTTTCTCAAACATTAAAAAAATACCCTCATGTTGTAGCAGATACTGTAGGTGTCCCTGCCTGATCCTCTTTGCCTGGTTAGAAACACCCCTACCCCTCCCTCAGTTGCTGCTAACAGTTCACTGTTGACCCTCTGCTCCCCCATCTAGAGAACTGCTCTTCCACACTTCTGATTCCCACAGCCCTGCTTGGGGAGCTCACAGCCAATAACAAGTGGATGTGAGGGTGTTAAAGGCTGGCCCGAATGTCTCAAGGAGCAGGATGACTTTGTCTGCAGTTCTTGTTCCTGAGCTCCCCTGGGAATCAACCCAAGGTTTTTTTTTTAATTTAATTTAATTTTATTTGTGAACATACTGTACAGAGGGGTTACAATTACATGGGCAGGATAATGCATACATTTCTTACCAAGCATTGCAGCCTCCTCCTT